AATACATCGTGTAGCATAGCTCTCAACGAATGTAGTCCTATAAATAAATGAATAAAGAAATTGTGTAATAAAATGCCTCTGGCGGGACTCGAACCTGCGACCTCTCGCTGTCAAGGCGAGTGTCATAACCACTAGACCACGGAGGCTTCATGGGTTGAACAGATTCAAATACCACCAGATACACTCTATTACACAATAGGTACGGCTAGAAACAAATAGGTGCATATAACATGAATCAAGGTAGCCGTTAACACTGTTAAATCATATATAAATCATCAAAGAAAGGTAAATACAGTGTTCGAATAAAGGACTTAATAAATACATAGTGTAGCATAGCTCTCAACGAATGTAGTCCTATAAATAAATGAATAAAGAAATTGTGTAATAAAATGCCTCTGGCGGGACTCGAACCTGCGACACAGCTAAGCAGGAGGGCCTATATTATTTTTTAAACACATAACTTACATAAAACATTAGTTGACTAACAATTATTTGTATTTCTGTACTATAATATTATAGTTTATCATTATTAATATTACATGCATCACTTGGTGTTATTTTTCTTTTTTTACAGAAACAACGAAAATATTACAAATTCGACTTGGTTTGAGACAAGCTTCTCTTTAACATTTGTTGCGATATATATTTTATTAATGCATAAATTGAATGGAGATTAATGAAATAAATATAGTCAACATTAGTTTTTCATACATTTGTTTTCTTGTCTGATACGTTTCCATTTATCTTGAATGTTGTGATCATGTTTATAATTTTATAAATAAACATACTGAATGAAATATGATGAATGAAAGTAAATATATGAAGGAAATATATAGTTTTTTCGTATTTATTTTCCACATAAAATTTTCAATATATAATTAAACACCGATACATTTTAATGGCCCATTTTAGGCCCCCTTTATATTCATAAGCTTCTGATTGTCAAGCATCGTAAAAAGACAAAATAAATAAAATTAATACTGTACCCAGTCTGAAACATACGCACCAAGAACTTTAAAAATAAAGAACAATTTAAAAATTACTTTGCAAACATAAAGCACTAGTGCGTACATGTGCGTTCCATACTGAGGCTGTTTATCGCGACCGAAAAGCATACCAATACGGCGGAGCGACCGAAATGAAGGCGCGACCGAAATGATCTGTATTCCTAGTACTACTACTACTACTAGGCCTAGCCCTAGAATACACTAAACTATTTTTTCTAGTGTAACTAGCCTAGGCCTACTATACTAATTAATACGCACCCTCCCTAGGCCTACTAGGCTAGAACTACAAGGCAAGGGCTAGAATAAAATAATATACTTGCTTATAAATATAGTCTATAGTATAGAAGGCCTTTGGTAAACTCTTGGGGTTGTATTAAAGAACAAGAATATGATCTTTCTTTTTCTTTTTTTTTTTTGGTGATATCAAAGATACTAGAAATACAAGATAGAGTTCTCCACACAAAAAAAGTGTTCCACCGAAATGCATGGTGGTAATACGGAAAATGGGACGCCCCCTACAGCTGGATCTAAAAAAACTTGTGCCAAACTTTCGTTACCAAGTCGTCGCATATTTTATTATCAATTCTCAACAAAGATACTAGATATAAAAACAAACTGGAATAGACACCCATTCAGTGACATCTGTGAATACATAACCTCCTTGGTGGCTGTAGAAATCGTTGCTATTATCCAAATAATACACAAAACAATTAAAGCATAATCATGAATCAGCAAAGAATAAAACAACAATACAGCGCAGAATCGCATGGCCGGACGCACTCTTAGTGAAAAAGTTTTCCTTCATTAGTGGAAAAGGAAGGGCGCCTTTTGCGTCTGGATATACTTAGCAACAGAAGGGCGCCCTGTACGTTGGACACGAAGTATAGGAAACTTGCATGGTTAAAAAGAAGGGCGCCGCCTACGTTGGGCACGACTTCCGCCTCATTTTTACAATGCGAGAACTGAGTTCTAGACTATCTATCTTGTATTTCTAGTATCTTAGGTGATATCGATTTCCGCTTCTAGACTTGTATTTCTAGTATCTTAGGTGATATCGATTTCCGCTTCCGCACTTCCTCATTTTCTGCGCATGCGCATGTTATCATTAGAGCGCCCGCTACAATCGAAATCTAACAAATGAAAATGGTGGCAAATTTGAAATACACTGAGATTTGCTGAGCTGAGATGCAGCCTAACTAAGCCTAGAAGTAGTACAGTACTAGCGTTTATACGACAGAGAAAGAGTTACTTGCTGTAAGTTGGTCCAACTGATACTTCTTTATGAGAACAAGTAAACCTTGGCCTAAGTCTTCACATGAATTTTACCCTAGATATTACATTATCAACTTACAAAGCCAAAGGACAAAAAAAGATTGAGTCTTTGCTTAGGCCTTTGGGTTGGGCCCTAGCCTATAGTATAGGCGAGGTTAGGTAGGCTAGCTTGCTACCTAGCTAGGCCTAGGCTAGGGCCTCTAGGCCCTCTCACTAGCCTAAACAATGCTGAGCAGCGAATCGAAACCAACAGAAATATTAGTCTGTCAAAACTTAACTGGAAAAAAGAAGACCGATATTGTATAGTGTGTTTCTATTTATTTCACTTTTGTCATAAAATATAACAATTTGTACAGTACGTGATGATAATTCATAATAATAAATTGTATAATTACAAGGAAATGATCAATTCCTGAAAAAGGAACTCTGCGAATAAGCAAGCTTTTAGTTGCAGAGCCCTACATAAAACAATAAAAACTTAGAAAATGATATTTAACACACAAAGAACTACTATAAGTTATTTACTTAGATGTATCCTTTGCAAACATTTTGAAGAAAAAATTATGTCAATACGACCCTTCGTTAAGGAGTTATAATTCTTAAAGTAACGTGTCCTGGGATCAATCCTGTTTGTCATATACATTAATGATTTGCCAGATAATTTAAATTGTTGTAAAGTTAAGCTTTTTGCAGACGACACGAAAATCTACGCGGTTGCCATTGTCAACGATCAAAGAGCAGCCAGAATATTGCAAGAAGATCTGGTCAGGGCATGGAAGTGGGCAAAAACATGGCAACTACCCTTCAATAAAGAAAAATGTAAAAATCATACTTTATGGTCGTCGAAATCAACACCATGGGAGATCCTACTGACAAAATTGATATTAACCTTGTTAAAAAAGAAAGAGACTTGGGAGTACTTTTTGATGCTTCACTGACATTCACCAATCGCGTAGTAAATGTTGCCAAAAAAGCAAATATAAAACTGGGAATAATTAAAAGTTCATATACATCTTTGGATGAGTTCAGCCTACTTTAACTATAGTCAGCCCATCTCTTGAATATTGTTGTTCAGTTTGGAGTCCCATATTTAAAAAAGATGAAGATATGTTAGAAAAGATCCAACAGAAGGCTACTAAAATTATACCAACTATACGCAACCTTGAATATCCGGAAAGATTGAAGTATCTAAAACTACCAACATTACGGTATAGAAGACAATGCGCCGACATGATCCAAATCTTCAAAATAATGCGAGGTATCGATAATATTGATGTAAATAAATTCTTCAATATGAGTGTAGTACTGTCTACAAGAGGACATCAATATATAATAAATAAATAAATAAAATACATAAACCACATGTAAATCAAAAGCAAGACCGAATGTTTTCTCCATCAGAAGTATAAATTGTTGGAACTCGCTGCCCAGTTATGTAATAAATCATCAAACTTTTAAACCAATTCAAGTCTCAATTAAAAAAGCACTGGTCTGACCATCCATTGAGATACAGCCAGTACGTACCCTAGCAGATGTTTAGCAAGTCAAGAGAGGCACAAAAGCTCTAAGCTTTAAGTCTCAAAATCCAGGTAGATCCAGGTAGGTAGGTAGATGACCTCCAAAAATATGGCCAGCACGTTAAATGATATTCAGTCGAACAGTGAAATAATGGCAATGTGTGTGTTAACACTACACAAAATTAGTCTGCCATTTTCCAGTTAGGTTTTGACAAACTAAACAAATTTTCAATTTTTTTTTAGTACGATATATCTTTTGCGAACATTTTAAAGAAAAAATTATGTTGATTGACCCTCTGTTAATGATTCATGATTTTTAAAATAACATGAGCTCCTAAAATATGGTCGAAACGTTATGTTATTGCTATTGGTTACGCTTCACTGCTCAGCACTGTTTGTCATCGATCGAAGATGTCTACCGCAGGGTGAAAAAGGCGAATTGTGGTCTAATTTTATTATTTTAACATAGGCCTAGGCCTACACTACAGCTTTAACTGGTAGCAGGTCAAAACGGCAATCAACCAAAATGGCAATGACCAAAACGACAATAACTAAAGCAATGTTAAGTATCGAAACGGCAACAGACCAAAACGGCCATAGGCTTAGGCATAGCCTACATGGCAAAGAAGCAAAATCATTGAAGCGCCGTCGGGCGCGGCCACAGTTTATAATTTTCCGAATTGTGAAATTGGCCCAATCGTCTGTAGGTAAATGAAGTATTGCCATTGGCTCTTTTTCCCACTTTTAATGTTTATTGTAATCACGTTTTAAAAAATTTTTTACACACGAATCGTTTAGATGCCTCATTTTGTCTGTATTTTAAAGTTTTATTTAGTTGAATGTTTACTGCTTTTATATTGTGTTTCCTCCAATCCTTTTATTTTTTAATTGTATGTTGTTATATTATTATTATTATTATTATTATTTTTTATTATTATTATTGTTATTATTATTGTTGTTTTTTTCACATTTTTTACCTTTATGACATAAATTGTTTTAGCCTAATTTTGTCTGTATTTTATAGTTTTATTGTATTTGAATGTTTACTGCTTTTATACTATTATTATAGTATTTTTAATATTTTTATTATTATTTTGGTTTATTGCCGTTTTGACTTATTGCTCTTTGGACTTATTGCCGTTCTAGTAAAAAAGTGTTGCTGTTTTAGTTTATTGCCGTTTTGGTTTATTGCCGTTTTGACTATATAGCCTTTAACTTAAGAATTGTACGTAATTAGATGATCATATATTTATTTTAATAATTTTGGTATACGGAGCAATTTTTATGGATGATGTGTTTTTTTCAATAAATCAATCATGAAATGATTTTGCTTAAAGACGATCAGGGCCATTTTTTAGACTATCAGGCCCGATTTTCCTGAAAATGAGCCCAACCTTGATTGTCTTTGTACTATAAATTGTCTACTAGATTATTTCAATGATTAATTCTGTTGTACAGTGAAAATGTCACAGCAAACACCAAAGGCAGCCTTTCAGAGAAGGTCATTAAGGTCACCAAGGTCAACTGGAAGAACACCAAGATCTGCAAAGAAAACACCAACAACCCCAGACAGCACAAGATCAAGAAAAGGTATGTCAAGAACATTATGAAATCAGAAAAAGGCTAGTTCTTACAATCAGCAACACTTTATTTTTAGTCTTTTAAAATAATATAAACACATCTTTCTATGATTTACAGTTTGATTAGATACCATAGTCTAAAATTTTTTCAACAGCAAGAAATATAAGCGCAGGTAACTATTGCCTGGATTATTCATAAAATAGTTATTTACTAAAAAACAAACATAAAACATAAAGAAACTAGTAAATGTGTATATATTTTCCATATTAATGCAAATCTTCTATTCTACTTTGCTATAGAAAAATAGTACTGCCACCTACTACATGCTAAAGTAAATATCAATTATAAAAATTAAATTAAAATTGAACTGAAATTAAATTGGCATGCAATAATAAGTATAACAATAAAGACCCACAGAATCAAATAAACATATAAATATCAAACATACAAAATTAATATTTACAAATGTATTAATACCATAAAATAACCAAAATAAAATAATTATGAACAATAATCAAAAATTTACAACAGCAATATATTAATGGAGTATATGTTGTTACTTGGTAATTGTGTTTTGGGATGTGTCAGAGTGTATGGGTATGGTTGTATTCATGTACATTTAATCCATGTATAACTATGTGTATATGTACTTATGTAAATTTTGTAGGTATATGTTTATTGAGTACCATAGCTCTAAATGTTTGCTGGGATGTGTACTGTGGGTGACTACAATCATATGTATGCAGTATAATTATACTATACATTGTGTATTATACTGATGTATGTATTGTTCATATATGTATAAGTGTTACAAGTATATATAGTATACTGTACATATCTATGTAATTATTAATAGTAAATATATGTACAAGTATAAAACAACTATTACAAAAATTATACTTTCTTTTAGTTACATATAAATATTACACAAGATATTGATATTACTGCACATACATGCATTTTTATAGAATAGAAATGTATTAGTAGATGATATGGAAGGTGTGACATTTAACAACATTAATTTGTTTCAATTATATTGGTATGGACATTAGAAGCTGGTATAACTAACATTATGCAACACACAACTATAAATTTTAAGATGTTTTCTAAGCACTATATTTTAAGATATAACTTAACATTGTAGGTTTAAATACTGAAATATGTTGAAATTTAATAATGTGATTTTTATATCAAGTGGTTAAAGCTTTGTCTGCAAGTTTTAACATTACATTATTGTCACTAGGGATCTAGGGGTAAATTTATACTAATGTATAAGAATTCCAAGCATTTGTTTTATGATAAACAATGTATATATTTCATCTTGTAAAATTAATAAAATGTTAAATGTAAAACTGGGTTGGTATATGTTCAGAGGGAGCCCCACTCCTGCAACACATCTTTCTATGATTTACAGTTTGATTAGATACCATAGTCTAAAATTGGCTCTCAATTTCATTGTCTGTGTTATGAAAAATATTGCTACTACTAGTTATATAGTATACTGATCAACAGGCTCCTTCAGGTTTTTCTGAAGCATGCTGACACCTAATAACCATTAGTGTTGAAGAATTGTACATCAAAAGCGATTGCTAATAACACAAGGAATCCAATCATTGAGCATGTAATGTTGTTATAATATACCATCACATCCAACATTGTGTGGTAATGCATGTTTTTTCAAACATGAAGCTGAAATTCAACATGCTTTTCATATTGGTGTATTATATACCTCCCCCTTCCTCTTCTCTCCTACTCCTGGGACTGTATTCAATAATAGGGAACTATGGTACTAGTATTTCTATACAGTACAGTGTATGTACTTTTGCCTCGGAAACCCATTCACAGACCAAATTAAAGCTTATAATTGATCTATTCAAATACGCTATTACAGTAGAACCTTTCCTTTGGGACACCCCTTTAAGTGGACACTTTTCCACCCAAAAAATATTCCAACAATGTGACTCATTTTGTGAGGAGACCTCACAGTTAACATTTATTTTCCTAAAGGGTTGCGATCCAGTCGGAAAAAGATTTGTACTCCAGGATCAAGTGGGATACAGACACGTATCGATGCCATGCTGCAGGATCAGCAGGGTTCCATTCGCAAGAGAAATATCAAACGAGAGAAAGTGGTGAATGAAATCTTTGATTCGGAAAAAAAGTATCAACAACAATTATGCGCAATTATACAGGTACTGACTGTTGTATTGTGCAAAGTGTACTGTACAAAGTGCTTCATTGCCTTTTTTATCTGTTAAGGTGTTTTTTTGTAATTTTTTATGTTTGTATCATTTTGTATATATTTTGTAATGATTTTACAAAACTTTCATTTATTTTATTTTATTCAATTTCTTAGGTACACACATGCACCAAGAATTGTCAATAGTCAATTATATCATTGTCTGACTTGTAGTTGGCAATCCCTTTAACAAAACAAACATAAAAAAAATTATGCTTTACACAAACTAAGTCTCATTATGAGGCTTAGGGAGTGGAGTTGTTTTGGTCGTGAGAAAAAATCCTGCAACACTGACAGGAATTGAACCCATGACCCTGTGATTGGAAGGTAAGCACCTTAACCACCAAGCTATTCAACTCCACTCCAAATGCGATTCTAAAATGTTTATCATCTTCCACTTGTAATTTACTCCCATTTTTCTTTTTCTAGTGTTTTTATAATCCTGTGCGGAAGAATGGAATACTTCCAGAAGATGCTATCAGTACCATCTTCAGTAACATCACTGCCATCAAGGCAGTGAACCAGGAGCTTCTTATTCATCTGGAGACATATAGTGTTGGCAAAGCGTTCCTTCTCCTTGCACCGTCCCTTCGGCTGTATTCAACATATGCCAACAGTTTTGACAAAGCATCAACAACACTTGAGGTACAAACATTTTGTTTTTTCAAATCTTTTTACATATTTGTCTGTTATGTAATATTTTGCTAAAATGCTACAAATTTTAACATGTTGGTTTGAAAAGTGAGCAAGGAGGACACTTGTGAGATTTATATTATTCTGTAATATTATTGTTTTCCATATTTTGCCGAAGATCTATAAAGAAACTTTCTGTAAATGTTTATTATTCAGGAATGGACCCGTAGGAGCAAAGAGTTTGCTGAATTCAAACTTCTTCAGGAATCTAAGACAACATGCCATAGTTTGAAACTTCATGCATTACTGATCACACCGATCCAAAGAATCCCACGGTACGAGACAAAAAAACCCACAACGCATCTGTTCTTAAAAACAGATGCATTGTGGGTTGTTGTTTTGTATTATTGTCATTATTATAATATACTGTACTTATTATAATAGCAAAAGTGTCTTTGCACTTTAAATATTATGAAAATAAAATAAACTAGAGTACTAGTAACAACAGAAACAATAACACAGGAATTAAGTATAAATATTACAGTAATTGTAATTGATACAAGCAGTATGTTTAATGACATCTTATCAAGGTAAATATATATAAACTTTATTTTGCAAATAAAATGCTTATACACAAACAATAAAATTACAGTATTCAAAATAGAAATATACTAATTTAAAATGTCAGACCAACTGACGTACAATTTAGAATTTAAAAGCAATTTATCATACATAGTTTTCATAATCAGATTATTGAGACAATTAATACACAGCATAAACCTATAAATAGAAATCCCTGTCCAGATTTTATTTGACAAAAACATGTGGCATGCCTAATATGGTCATTATCACATCATGACCATATATAGGCACATCATGACCATATATAGGCACATCATGACTATATATTTGCATACAACAGTTTTTTGTAAATCTGTACAGAGCTTTACATTCATACATGGATGTATGATTGCTTAAGAAGTGAATTCATATCACCAGTGACTTTTATTATCTGTATTAATGCTTCAGATATAAACTTCTTCTTGAAGAACTCTTGGAGAAGACCAGCCAAAGTCATGAAGACTATGCACAGTTAAAAGGTGTGTTCAGCAGCAGATGATACCACAAACTATAAATTCTCTTGCAGATATTGGTAAAAGTAAAAATGTGTATATTACCCTATTCTATATGTGCTTAGCAAATTAACCTCTTTGCTACTCCAGAAGTGGAGCAATCATGTTAAGCTCAGACAGTGTCGTACGATGCAGCCTGACATAATTTGTTGTAGCATTTGGTCTGTGTGAGTTAAACACTGATGAAATAGTTCTGCATTGGGGACAATCGCGTCATAGGGTATTAAACATGTTTAATATGCTCACAATGTCTTAAATACTGTCCCTGACGATAAATCGCGTCTGCTTGCGCTGTACGAATGTTGTTGGGCTTTAGGTGCAGCCCGTAGACATTTTGTGAAGTCTAGGTAACCCATGCTCTTCTCATAGGATGTACTATATCATGGGTTATATTCTAATGACAGTAAAAGTGCACTCTGGGTCACCAGAACCTTGAGTAAACATGCCATTCTAACCAATGCTGATGTTTGGTTACAGGTTGCAATGCCCGTTTTAAGTACTCGACAACTCATCTCACTGACCCTGTGTAACCTAGAAATAATTTGTGATATCTTAACTGTTAAATGTTTTGACATTTTAGAAGCAGCTAAGCGAGTGAGCGACGTTGCACACAGCATCAACAAGCAGCTCAAGGAGCATGATAACTTTCAGAAGATGCTTAGCATTCAAAATTGTATGGTTGGCGATGGTGCCCCCAGAATTTTGTCTCCTGGGAGACGCTTCATCAAGGAGGGTGCCCTCAAGAAGGTAAAAACTAAATTGTTAAAAATGAATTTTAAACAAGATATACTTGGTAGGAGTGGCTGGTGTTGCTGTTTGTGTTCTTGGACAAGACAGTTTACCTATATTTGTCAGCACCCAGCAGTATAAATGGATACATGGCAGGATGATGTGTCATTGAATGTATTAGGCTGCATTATATTGCAAGCATGACCACAAATACTTCCCAGGGATGCATTCTAAGTTTTATAATTATTGTTGTTTTATAACATTTTAAAACAATTTTTTACAATTTTCTCAGGTGTCCAAGAAAGGAAATAAATCTCATGACAGAATGTTCTTTCTGTTTTCGGACATTATGGTGTACGCTAAGCCAACCTTCCTCGAGAACACAGATTCAGCAACTTCTTTTACTTGTCGTTGCATCATTAATCTATTGGATTGCTCCGTGGAATGCGTTCTCGGGGACCACAAGGTGCCTGGTGCAGGCGCCCTCTTCAAGGTAGCTTTCATCTGTATTTATATACAAATCCATTAATTTGTATTTATAATGGCTTTTCTGTATATTTTCATTCAAAAAATAAGTGTCAGATCAAAAATGCCAATCCTGTAGTAAATATAAACATCCATAGTTAGTTGATAACATATTTTATATTTTATTTTATTTATTTAGCCACACAACACATGCAACAAGGATTGTCAGTAGTAAATTCATCACTGTCTACTTGTAGGAGACAATCCCTTTCACAAGACAAACATACACACACAATGCTTTACACAAACTAAATCTCAATATGAGATTTAGGGAGTGGATTCATTTTGGTTGTGAGAAAAAGTCCTGCAACACTGACAGGAATTGAACCCATGACCCTGGGATTAGAAGGCAAGCACCTTTACCACCAAGCTAATCAACTTCACTCCAATCTATTTAAATGAGCAATTGAAGCAGATTTCCACATTTTATTACAAACTATATTTTAATTCATTCATCCCCTTCACTATTTCCCAGCTTTCTTTCGGGAATGACTGTTTGCTGTTGTTTCACGAGGATCAAAATATTGCTTTGTCTTGGATTGAGGCGATTAAAGGCACCATCTCTTTGCTCAAAAGGAATTCAGCTTCGTTGATGAAGACTGCAAGCACTGCTGCTCTTTCTCCAATGATCAAAAGAAGCCGCGTACGAACAAGTCTTCGTATCCATGGAAAACGCAAGAGACCTGATGGAGAAGTAAGTTTTATTTTATATTTTTTTAATTATTATTTTAATAAAGATAATTATTTTCAATGTCATTAGTATTCGTATATAACACTGCCACTCAATGAAAGTCACTTTGACCTTCTCCTTCATTATACTGTACTCACAATGTTTTAATATAATTTTTAAATTTTTTTCCCATAAATGATCACTTAAATTCTTCTCATATTTTACTGTGATGATATGTTTTGGATGTGTGATGTTGAGGGCACTGCATATCTTCTTGGTAGCTTCCTTCCATTTGTATTTGCATATATGCAGATACAGGTGTTCTGTGTTTGCATATCCAAGCAAATACACAGATGTTCGCGACCACTGCACATGTTATTTTGCTTAATTGGCAATATGTAGTTCTGAAGTCCATAATGTTTGATTAATGTGCTGTTAGCTTGGCGTTAGGTTAGTAACTGAAGTTTTGTAAGCCAATTCTAACTTCAGGGTTTTGTTGTTTAGTTGATTATGAGTGAATAAAATGTTGAATGATATACAGTGATACGGTGTCTATTGATTACCATCTGTGCCGAGTTTCAACCACACAAGGAGATTGTACCTGCCTTCTCTTAATATCTTCCATATTGAACCATAACATTACTATTGGTATCATTCTTAGCCCATGTCTTTTATTAGCATCAGTTCATAAAGCTTAACTCGAAAATTTATAAATCTTCTGTTTGTTTAAGCTTCAGCATCTACACATTTATATATATATATATATATATATATATATTATAAATGTATATGTCAAGTATTATTCATATAAATTATGCCATTTTCTTCAGAGTGATCCTCCAACATTTCAAGATAGTTTGTATCCAATGAGGAAATACCTACAAAGTTTAAAGTTCAATTCAACTCGGGAAACGCCTTCCAAGAGATGCAGATTGGCTAAGAACCAATGTGAACAAAAACAGTCGGTAAGGAGTGTTTAATTTTTATTGAAGATGATGAAATGTATTTTATTTATTTTTAGTTTAAAGGATTATGTCCATATCCAGAACTGCTCAATGTACATTTTTCCTGTTTGTTGGATACAGAAACAATCATACAGAATGTGAAACAGCCTTCTCCACTCCCTTTGGGTATATTTCTAGTCATGTGTGTAATAGAGCACCATTAATTTCATTCTGGCTCGCCTGATTTTACTCCTGGGTAAAGAGAAGTGAACGTAGATAAAGTTTTCTTGACCAAGGACACAAGCAGTGTGATAAACTTCGACCTCAAAGTCACAACCCTATGATTGAAAGCCCTATAGCTATAATGTCACCGCATGATTGAGTAGCATGCTTACCTATGGTTCTGGTGATTAACAATTCGTCTTGGGCCATTGTATGCAACTAACTCATGTGCGAGTTGCGGTATACCCCGGTGTACTGGTCCATCTCACAGCCCCTTTTATTGCGGACTAGACTGCATCTTGTTGGCTGCATGACACAACAAAAATATTAGGGGATAAGTAAGTTTTAAACACGAGTATCAAAATTGTATATCCGTCTTGGGCCAAAGCTGTTACATATAAAGTTAGGCCTCAATCTAGAAAGAATTCCACTGCTGTACCACATGTCTTCCACTCTTACTAAATGTTTAAGTGCAAATGTACCAGAATGATTCATTTAAAACTAAATGACTTTAATGTTTTGAATGTCATCAATTGGTAAATGATAAAAGCATTATAAATAAATTCTCGCATCTTGCTCTTCCTCAGAAAATGAACGAGACCAAATTCACGGAGGCAGATTCAATTTACAAAACACCGAAGAAAACATTTGAGGAAACAACCTTTTTCACTCCTTCTACGAGCATGGTCAATGACACATCACGTGACCAAATGTTTCACACTAGTAGGCAGAGTAAAACCCTGTCCTCGAGAAAGCCGAGACCGCGACATCGTGCACCACGTAATATGCAAAGTACTGAGACAAATAATGACACATTTTGCACAATTCTGTAGATGTCATTTTTTTTAGAACAACTATGATCTGAACAGAATTTGTATTTTTGATAACCTATATTGCACAAGATTATTACAATGTCTTTGAATTTTAATCATGATATTTACTACTACTGTAATTTCTTTTGAGAATATCTAGGCACATAATCAACTATAAATACTATGAAGTGTGTATATTACTACTATGAAAAAATAATATTAGAATTATGTCAATATTTCTTTCCTGAAATTGTCTAATACATTCTTATATTTTTAGATATATATATTTAATATCATTTTGTTCTCTTTTTATTATATATAAACTACAATACTGACAGTATTGTGTATTTCTAATGTACTGTATACATGACGTATGGCAATTTTTTAATATTGTTAAATTACAAAATGTACAAAAAAAAAAAAATGTTTTCGGCAGTACTTTAAAACAACTTGTACTGAATTTTAGAAATTGTATTGTCATTATTAAGATATATAATACTTTTTGTACATTTTTGAAGATAAATGAACAGTTTTTGTTTAGAGATCTGTATTATTATAATGCAATATGTAGACTGCAGAAGTTGAGTAAAATTCTGCTCTCACACATTTTATTTTGGCTCTCTGGTTATTAGTTTTATTGTTCTAAAATATTTAACCTTGGAGAAAAACGCCTATAGGCCGCCTATAGGTTCCTATAGGCCGCCTATAGGTTCCTATAGGCCGCCTATAGGTTCCTATAGGCCGCCTATACGATCCTATAGGCCGCCTATAGGATCCTATAGGAGCCTATAGGCCCCCTATTGGATCCTATAGGACATTTTTGTTAGGGTTGACATGTAAGTTATGAAATTATTCAATTTTATGCCAAATCTGAATGTGCAGGACAACCTTGTCTTACAAATTATTTCTATCAGAAAAGATGTCATTACACTATTCGGACCCAAAGCTGGTAACCTCTTAAATTATTGCAACTTTTCTTTATTCCAACTATAGAATTTTGACAGTGCTTTTAATGTTCATTTTGTATTTGATATTAAGTGATGTTTGTGTGTATAACTCTTTTTAAGTTTTCTATGTAAATACTGTATTTAGTTTTGAATTTTTCACACCATTCAATTAGAAGCACTTTTATATAGAAGAATAAAAAATATATATTAAATATTTTGGGCTGTTTGTCTTAACTTTTTATGAATTTGTCTTCTGAATATAATAAAATAGTAATAACAATACAGTAAAATACAATAGTTTAAGTTCAACATCAATCCACTGGATTTACTAATTTAATTAAAATAAGAATATAATACTTATAACAACTTGCACCCATGTATGTAAATTCTATTATGCATACATTGTTACATATCCTAACAGCTGAGGAACATAATCTCGCTATAAGCGTATTCGCAAAATTTAGAGAGCGTGATATTCAAGTGTGACATCTGTTTGTTTAAAGAGAGGTTTTCGTGGTACGAAAATATTTTTTACCTGCAGTCCAAAACAGTGAAACAGCTCTCATCAGGATTCTGCACTCTGCAAATGTTGGAACATGTTTCGGAAACCAACCATCATCAGTGTGTATTATTGGTAATGCTGATGATGGTGGTGGTGAAGATAATAATGATGACGATGACAATGAAGATTACAGTATTATATTATAGTATTATTATATTATTATAGTATAGTAAAAATACAGTAACAGTATTACGAATCTAAAGTGCGCCATCTATGACGCATATAATAGTATCCAAAATGGCTGCGCCCATAGCTGCCTTAAATGATATACTGGCTTCGGGCCAGTATACTCAAGTTCTAAGCGTGATTAAAGGATTCCGAAATGGGGTTGTGTAAGTGATATCATTTTACTAGGCCTGGCGCTTGGCTCCTCTCCAGTCTAAGCCTAGTAGTAGTAGTTAGAACTTGTGGTAGGCCTAGCCTAGGCCCTGTAGTAGTAGTATATAGGCCTAGCTTAGCCTAGCTACTACTACTAGGGCCTAGGCTCGGCCTAGCCTAAGCCTAGCTAGGCCCTACCTAGGTAGACCATGCATATAGGCCCAGCTAGGCTGGGCCAAATCATGCTTGAGACCCCACTGTATACTCGCCCTGCCTATAATAGATAGCGCCGATCAGATAGGTTTGAATCTGAATATATACCAGGGGTTTAGCCAGAAAAACGAAAAAGTCCGCCCAAAATTGAAGCAAGTGAGTGGGCGTGGCACTGAGCCGATGGGCGGGCCACGCCCATCTTTGGGAGTCCCCACCGAATATTGGTACGAAAACAACGTACCTAATAAGGTTATTTAGTCTAGAATATATCAGATATCTTTGTAAAGTACAGTAGTTTTTTAATATGATATAAATATAAGGGAATAAATCAGAATATATGTTTGTGCATATGATTGAGCCTTCGTTGTTTCGCTCTATTGCTTAAATTTGTAGGTTCAATTTCTTGAAAAAAAAAGAAAGAAGAAAACAACGTACATTCAATCAATAAATGTTGTTTTTATCAAACTTAAATATGATTTAGCTTTAGTTAAATGTAACATTTGATAGATTTGAAGAATATAAAGAATTTGCTATTAAAGGTAGACCAGGCCCAATTAGGCTAGGCCGAACTGAGGCCAAGCCGTCACAGTAAAAGTGGTCATCCTAAATAATTGTTCGTAGGCCGTCCAAAAGATGGCCGGACGGCTCACTGGCTAAGCCTATGATATACTGACAGAGGACCCCACTGAGTATATGCGTCAACGATCTACAAACTATAAGTGTTAGTTATCTATGATTTACTTACAATATACTTCTTGACTAGGTCTAGCCTAGGGTAGGCCTAGTATTGCAAATGATGTGCGTATGCATCACAATACAAGCTATACAATTTGGTTTGGTTCTTCAGTTCAGGAGGGGGATCCAACAACCGATGTCGAGGCAGCGTTGCTTCCACTAGTGCGCATATGCAGAACACGGGCAAATACGATGTAACAGCAGCTTCTGCTTTGGCCTAGTGCCTCAGGTTTACAACTATTTTCCTTTAAACTATCTAAACCCCTTACCTTGAGTGGTCCTTGTTTGGGGTAACTGAACATAAAAAAAAGAAAATGATGCTGCCTCGTATCAGAAAGGGGTAACCTCTCAAAAAAAAAAAAAAAAAATGAATTGACTTGTGCCTGAGACAGTCATATAGATATATAGTTTTCTCAGCTTGTACACACATGTGTTGATTTGTTACTAATTGGTCAAAAGAACACTTGAACAAATTAAAATTTTATATCAAATCTCAGACAAATGAATGCGACGATATTTAAACTTTCAGGTATGGTGCCAAGATCCGATTTCCACACGCTTTGGTTATGACATTCCTGTTCAAGAGGGGGCCGTAAGTACATATTTGTTACAATGCAATAGTAAATAAATGACTTAATCAATGCAAGTAAATAGACTTATTCAATACAACTGTACATTTCATTTCATTTATTTCCTAAAACTTTAAAATACAAAGGATAACAATACAGAAAGGACAAGACAATACCCTGGTTGGTAGCAGGTTGAACAAAAAGCAAACTTAACTGCAGCTGTCTGTTGACAGTTTTTCCTCTGACAAGGATAATAAGACTTCAAGTAATACACTTATTCAATGCAACAGTAAATATAGTAGACTTATTTAATATTTGATCTAAAAAAAACAAAACATTTGATACACTGATATTCCAAGTTCAATTCAATATTGATTTGATCATTACTTGATTGTGTTCCTGTATCGTTCTGATATGCAGATTGAAAGACAAATTAATAAGCATCTTGAGAGCAACTTACACTCATTCAAGAAACCTTTCGTATTTTGTATTTATATACAAAGTGTTGACTGGCTTGTTTCGTAAACTTGAGAGTAAGCCACGTGAGAGTCATTCGTTTATCGCAGCCTGTATTGGAGGATATTTGGTCTTCGGTGAAAATAATAACATCAACAGTCAGGTAAGGCAATATTGTGATTATGTGACTTGTTGGTTTAGAGGGTTGCCTTCCTTCCAATATATTTTTCAGATTTAAAAAAGAAATTAGGAAAATAAGAAAATTATATTCAAATTGAAGTCTGAGGATACCATTTCCGATCATCTGGAAGGAAGTGCCATAATCATAAATTGTCTTACCTCAGCCGCTTGGACGTCCTAGACCTGACATCTGTAAAAGTGGGCCCCTCTTTCAAATCCAGGATCTGTCACTAAAAGCCTAGGTACAGTAAATATCACAGTAATCACCCATTAACTGTCTTTGTGGGTGTCAAAAGAAATTCATTTTAAAGTTTGGTTTTTATCAAGGAGGTATATACATCCTTGTTTTATCTACTAGATGACCTGATGTTTGAATAAGGAAATCTGACAAAAACCACCCAAAATGGAATGTACCATTGTTAAAGTTGGGTGGACAATGTTGGGTGGGCCTGTTTTTATCAGCTTTACAATAAGATAGTTTACAATGTGACTTGCTATTATACGCCTTTAATTCAATGTTTTGACAACATTCATGTATGTTTATAATCATTTAAGACTGTGATTTTGTGATGCAATTGTTTTCAGCATCTAGCTGTATTTTATGTCAGTTATAGACCTAAATACATAGATATAAAATATTTCGTAGTATTCATTTTTAGTGCCCTTACAGTATAAACAATATATTTTTAAAATAATAAAATACTGTACTGATAAATTAATATCAATAACTAATTGAATCTAAAAATGTGTTCATGGATTCTCATTACAGATAAATATGTACCTTCTCTCAAGAATAACCTTTGGCCTTTGTCGTCTGATGGTGAAGAAAGGGGCGATAAACCCACCTCGTCGAGACCCGTTTCCCATGTTTGGTATGCTAGTGTGGGGGATAGTTTTATGGCTGTTTGAGTATCATCAAGAAGTCTTGCAACCATCATTACAGAACTCAATGACTTACCTATACCATGATTCTAACACATGGCACAATATATGGGACTTTATCATTTATAACAAACCTACAAAGTAGAAATATGTTGAAAAGAATTAAGACCAACAGTACTTTACAGACAGAACCTCTGTTGGACATTGTTTGGTCAACCATGTACCTGGTCAATCTAATCATGTACCTGACAATCTAACCATGCACCTGGTCAATCTAACCAAGTACCTGGTCAATACTTGACCAACAAAATGTGAACTGCATATTCTTAGTAAAATTACCTAAGTTGCACACTATGTGTAACCAATCGCTCATCAATGTGCATTCAAATTCGTCTATTTCAACATAATCTTTTTCACAGGCTGGAAGAGCATATTACTAACAATTTTCGTATCTCTCTAATTTGGCACGTTTAGATAGATTTGGTGTAATCAGCTGCACGACTTAATATAAAAAATGCTCACCTCCAAAAAGGTGCCGGTGTGGAGTTGAATAGCTCAGTGGTTAAGGTGCTTGCCTCTGATCCCAAGGTCCTGGGTTCAATTCCTGTCATGTCAGGACTTTTTCTCACGACAAAAACAACTCCACTCCCTAAGCCTCATAAAGAGACTTCGCTGATAAAAGCATCACTTTATTTCATTTATTTAAGAGGGCCCCTAAATATCAGCCGACCTTGTTGGATACCCTGGAAGAGTCGCCCTCTATAAATATGGTTTAAAAAAAAATTTTTTTTAAAGTTCCGCCTTATATCTTTCAAAATCTTTCACAAGAAACTTTTTTTTTTTACTTAATTGCCAAATTTAAGTTTGTAGTCTGTAATATTGTGTTGTCTACCTATCTTACATTATCACTAATATAAAATAAAAAATCCTAGAGCCTAATATGAGTATAAATAATACGACTGATGTATATAATGCCTTTTATACACTTTAGAAGTGGTTTGGCGCAGCCGTAGCGGTTTGGTTTCTCAAGGTCAGGGTTTCAACCCCTCGCTGTGTATTTCATTTGCGTCCTTGAGCAAAGCACTTCTGCATGGCTTCTCTCCACCCTGGTAGGGTTAAATGCCAAAATGTGCAACATTATGGAATACGCCACCGGGGAGCTGAGTTTGTGTTCCATAGGCATTTAATCCAGTGCCAAGGTAATGATAATGTGAAGCATATAGAGGGCTTATTATAATGCACTATACAATTCTACCATTATTTTATTATACTGAAAATAACTCAAAATTGTAATATATATTTAAACCATCTATTGCTGAATTATATATTTATTGAAACTGGAGTATAAATGATAAAGAATGACAGTATTTATTAATTATATGCAAGTACAGTACCTAGAGTTTTATAAATTCAATATTTGGCATCAAGAACTTGATATTGAGTGTTAATTTGTATCAAGAACTTTATATTGAGTGTTAATGGAGAAGTTTACCAATTTTATATAATTTGAAAACATATAGCATACTCAGTAATACATACAGTGGCATAGCTACGGGTAGTGCAGTCTGTGCACAAGGCCCAGGGCTGTTAGGGGCCAATTCATAAATAGACCTAAAAATAATAATTTAAAATACTTTCCTTAATATTTTTGAAGAAAAAACGGCCAGCGGGTACCTCAATAATATTTGGTTTTTAGAGGAGTAATTATTGATTACGGAGTTGATTTCAATTCAGTTCTAGATTTTCAACTAGATTTGTGATGATGTTGCAGGTGCATCACTCCATCCACAGCCACGGGTATAGGATGATTCCTAGATGAACTATATAAAATTGGTAAACTTTTTAAAACGGGGTCGTTTCATGAGTTTGGTTCATAAATTCAATATATTTCTTCTACGCATGATTAAATTCTGCCTGATATATGAAAAGCTGGCAGCACCCTGTTTTATACTGACTTTAATAAAGTGTATTAATAAACTACTTATATTTGAGCAAATGATTTTATCACATTTTCTGTATATGTATTACATATGGGAATGATGATGCCCATATGCATCCATATACTGCTACCTTTCAACAAAAACTTCACTTTCAGTTCCATTCACCATTTAAATGAATAACATTTTAGACAACTTCTATTACATAGAACAATCAGATCCATTTGGTCAACTTTATTTTCAATGATTCTCTTGCTTCAGTGTTCAACTGTACAGTACATGCAATCAGAGACGAAGAGTGAAACATATTTTAAAAGGTTTATTGTAGATACACAAATCACCAAGACAACTGTTTGCATTTAATGGAAGTTGGTAGTAGGCCTATAGATATACAGTCTGATTTGAGCTCAAATCTTTTGAAGAATAAAGCCCCGTCCAGACTGTTGTATGCCCACATATAGTCATGTGACGACATTATGACCATATTTAGGTATGTCACATGTTTTTGTCAAATAAAATTTGAGTCTGGGAAGTGGCAGTGCTAGGGCAAAGGGTCATTCTCCCCCCCCCCCAATCATATCAATCACTTTAGTGAAGTTGACGCAGGACAGTCGCTTATCACCAGCAATGTGTTAAATTTCCCCTTATCTTCCCCTTCCCCCCCTCCCAACCCAGATTTCAGACGCTGGTGCCGCCACTGAGTCTGGACAGGGCTTAACTCATTACAATATCTGAATTGCGTTCAAGCTTATAATAGAAGAGAAAATATTTTTCTTGGCAATTAACAGACACATTAATAATACTGTTAAATTAGGACATTCAAGATACAACACTATATAAGTCTTTGCATAGATCCTTAATCAATTTAAAGATGTATTGGCCCATGATAAATAAACTTGAGCAAAGAAATTAGTGTATTTAAAAAAAAAGTTTTACCCATAACTTAACAGCGAAAATTGAAAATACAGGGTACTTTTTAAAATTCAATAATCCTATACTGAAGTTAATTTGTATGCTACTGTACTGCAAAATGAGCAAGTTCATTTAAAAATTATTTTTAGGATTTTTTTTTAATTTTCAGGGGACAATACATCTTTAAGGACTTTCATAGTAAAAAATGAGCCATTCAAATCTAGATTTCGCCACAGACAGTACATCTTAAAAGTGTATAAATTATCTACATGAGCAGTAGAATCCACGGCGGTGGTATCACATATGGTGACAGTGACAGTAGTACAGTAGTTGTATTAAGCCCACCTGCATTGAACACAGAGTTTGGCCGACTTTAGGGGTGAGTTGAGGCCTAAAATAAGTGAGCCGCCAGTATTTTTTAGACTAGACTGGTTTAGCCCTAGGCCTTGCAGAAAATTTAGTCTAGAACACATGTGGACAAAGTGAGGCCCGACAACTATCTCTGGCTAGAAAACCCCTTGTTTTTTTACAGTCCAACACCGATCATCTGTAAAAAGTAATATTAGAACTGAGCATAAGTGGTATAATAGCAGTCAATGAAGGTTTTGGAAGCACACTGGAAAAATCAAAGTTTGGATGTCTCTCTAACCCATTTTTATGCCCACCCCTGGCCTAGAACCGAATGGGCTTATATCCAATGAACAACAAGAGTAGCGGTAGTGATAATACTACAGAAGTATTAGCAATGGCACCAGTGGTAATCGAGTAATAGCACTGATAGTACAAATGATAATAGAAACTTAATACCAAGGAACCATGTTACGAATCTAACATCTTATTGAACTGTACTGCATGCACTCTATATTCATGCATAGCTGTTGGTGAACTTTTTAGACCAAATAAATCTACTTATTATTTATAAATTTTATAACACATTCACAGGAAAATTTGTTGAAAACATTCTGCAACTCATTAGACAACTAAGTCCCTGATTAGTTCAGCAGTATTTCAGAACAATAAATGAAAACTTCACTTCAAGGAAAATTATAATCAATCACTAGCATATTTAATAGGGGTTAGAGCTTTGCTTTGACACAAGTGTCCTTTTGTTTGCTTTTCACTAGGCAGTGGCGGATCCAAAAATTTTGAAATAGAGCGGTCCCTGGGAGAGATTTTCAGATAGTTTCCACACACCTCAGCCCCACCATGGTTGGGGCCGAGGTAAAAATGGAAATGGCACTCTCTGACGCAAGTTTGATTATAATTATATTTTTCCCCCATACTTTATTATATAATTTGGAAAAATTTAGGTTGGGGGTGGGGGGGGGGGGAGAGAACCCGGGGTAGAACCCGGGGCCTGCTCAGCTCCCCCATGCATCCGCCACTGCTAGGGATTACTTTGGGCAATTTATCAACAATTCTGATCTGTGATCCACCAATATTCCAAGTTTAAAAAGATTTTCCACAACTTTACGGAGACATTTAATTCTACATGTATTTAAAATAAGCCATCAAACTCTAAATTCTCCCCTCCCCCAACAAAATATCATAGTTTAGCACCAATCCCTTTTACATCCTAGATACGCCTTCAGTTGTAGTGAGATAGAGGATATTGGACAATATACAGTACAAATTTGTACAGGGTTTGACTTGGCTAAGACAAAAAAAAATCATATAATTGTGAATATACAAGATAAAAATAAATAAAAGAAATTAAATTTTATTATATTAAAACTTCACTATCTGTGTTGAAAACTGAAAAATAAAAATGAACTTTGTAAATTACTTACTATGTAATGTAAAGTGCAATTTAAATTAGTAGCTTTGATTGAGATTTTATGGAATATTTTGTCTCCAATAATATTATTTTGATGAGACCCTAAAGGCTGTTTTCCACTAGCCGAATTTATTTGCGCAAATCGAAAGCGTTGCCTAATGAGCATGCGCATACACATTTCTCTGAGTTTTTCCTTCAGCAAATGAACTTCTTTCTGCTTTTTATGTGAAGCGAAAAAATGTGAAACAGAGATCAGGAAGCGAACTGATGCTTTAGATTTGCGCGAATAAATTTACCTAGTGGAAAACAGCCTTTACACTAGCTGGTAATCATTTTAAGGAATTGGTAGTAAAATATTCATAAAGCTGTATATAATTATAACATATTTGATTCCTTAATGCTATTTTCACACACAGTAGCTAACGGTTAGCAGGATCCGTATTACAAACAAAAATTTGTTATATTTGAATCATTCATACAGTATATTGTAATATTTGTTGGTGGAAACTGGAAATAAAGTCGTAGTGATTATTGATTGATTCAAAATATACGCACTCACCTGTGCGTTCATACAAGAAAATCCCCAATCCAGATACCAAGAAGATGATGATCAGATCACTGGCCATTAGGAAATTGGAAATGTGTATGTGTGATTGGTTAATGATAGAAACGTGCTCAAGTTTGTTTACCGATAGTGCTTGCTAACCATTAACATATCCGGATCCTGGTAATAGTTAGCGCCCGATTCAGATACTAGGATTTTCGTGTGAACCTGACCTTAAGGGAGTTATTCAATGATTTATTCAAAGTTTTGATAGTTTTAAAGTAATAATTATGCAAAAAGTGTTATGAAAATTATTCATATATGCTAAATTTACCCTAAAATATAAACATTTCAGAAATGGATAACCAAAATTAAGGTAATTACATTATGAATCTATTCACATATTTAATATAGTAATACATGATTATTTATAAGCAACTGAATATAATTTGCAATGGTTTAAATGGTGTTTTTTTTTTTTTTGGTCATTTCTATTAATATTTAAAAGATGACAAAACAAACAAATTGTTTTTTCAATTAAAAACCTCTGAAATAACATAGGGGTAATCAGCCTTTATTCCGGGATTTTTTTTGAAGAATAAAAATAATTAGTTGGTTTACCTACCCAACATCTGCATTAGAGACTAACCTTAATATAATTGATATACACCTTTGATCAGGATTGCTACACAAATCATGCAAATCTAATGACTTATTTAATCAACTAAATCATTTGATAAATGTTATAATATAGACCATTCAAATTTATATAATAAATATATCCTTAAAAAAACCTAACAATGGTTTGTTTACTTTTTATTTAAACAGAATTATATGATGTAGCACATGTCAGCCAAGATATTATAAGACTGCCATGAAAGCAATACAAGTTAAATTTCAGTCTTCAATTGAAAATTCATGGGGTGTAAAATGATTTTCTTACCTATTCCTCTCCCACCCAGACAGCCATGACGTCAATACAGTCTGATAAAGACAATTAATACGACAAAAAAAAAGAAAATGGATAAAAATTAAAAAAACAAAAACAAAAGGAATACCAAAATATATATTAAATTACAATATGCTAATGAACCAGGAAAATTCAATTTAACAAGTTAATTAAAATTAATACAATTAATATGTTAAGTAGAACCAAGCTATAACGATTCATAAATGAGCAAAAAAAACCCTACTTTATTAAGTATAATTTATTTGAAATAATTTTTCTTCACACCCTAATGTCAGTGACATTGAGGTTGGTAATCTTCGTCCCGTCACCTCTATATTACCATCCTATTAACTGTACTGTAAAGGACGCAATTCAACATACAACAGAAGACAATATAAAGTCTTTGGACAACTTGCATGTTTACGAGTTCTAGTACAAAATGCATCTTAAATATAGTGTATATTATAATCATGTAAGGCTACTTTCTGAATGCAAGTTGTCAAGTGTAAACACCAATTTAATGAGCAAGATTCAGGTCCAATTTTTATGTGCAAAAGTAGTGTTCCTTTCCTACTGATTATCTGCTGCCTAAGAAACAATCCTTATTCACTCGTCTGTCATTGGCCATCATTCCCCTCATAGAAGGTAGGCTAAAATTTGGAAGAAAAAAAAAAGTATGTCATTTAAGTGAAACGTTACTCAACACCTACATCTCGCCAATTGGGGTTCTTGGCAGTAATTTTCCCCATTAGACAAGTATTCTGCTGAACGTCACAAGATTGAAGTAAAAATATTAATTTTTTTACTTTTGTTTTTTGTTTTTTTTTGACAATCAGGAACCATAAAATCTCTCCTTACGAATCCCACCAGGGATTTTATTTTGGGAACTTAACTGAGGCTTTAGGTAGCCCTTCTTGCTTCAGATCCCCCCTTAACTGAGGCTTTAGGTAGCCCTTCTTGCTTCAGATCCCCCTTTACTGAGGCTTTAGGTAGCCCTTCTTGCTTCAGATCCCCCCTTAACTAAGGCTTTAGGTAGCCCTTCTTGCTTCAGATCCCCCTTTACTGAGGCTTTAGGTAGCCCTTCTTGCTTCAGATCCCCCCTTTACTGAGGCTTTAGGTAGCCCTTCTTGCTTCAGATCCCCCCTTAACTAAGGCTTTAGGTAGCCCTTCTTGCTTCAGATCCCCCCTTAACTAAGGCTTTAGGTAGCCCTTCTTGCTTCAGATCCCCCCTTAACTAAGGCTTTAGGTAGCCCTTCTTGCTTCGGTTCCCCCTGTCAGATTTGTTGGGTCCATCACTGCATCCCCTCCCTCCTCCACTTAACTAAAAATAATACGGTGTGCAATGGACAGGTGTGACAGACAGGTATGATAAGAAACATACACACCTGCCGGATTTCTGTATTATTTTCCTGTTCATCTTCCATATCCTCGTCATCGTCTTCAGATGAATCGTGATCAATAATAGGCTCACTTGCTGCTTTGCTACCTGTACAGGAAAAAAACAGTACTTGATTCTCATTGTACATTTCACATGGTTTTTATTTTTTAAATTTTGCTATAAAAAGTTTCCTGCTGCAGCATAATTATATAGTCTTATCCTCTAAGAAGCAAATTGATATCCTTTCAGCAAAAACCAAATTATTATAATAAACAAAATACTATATGACCTTTTAACCTCTGATAAAAATTCTCCTGCTGTAGCAGGTCTTATTCTCTAGGAAGCAAATTGATATCCCTTTAGAACTAAATTATTATAATAAACAAAATACTATGACGTTTTAACCAAAGGTTGAATAAAGTTAACATACCTGCAGGGGGATTGACAGCATCCATTTGTGATGCTTTCCCTGTTGATAGTTGGTCATGGCATGTGTCGCATACACGCAGTGGCCGTGAGGATTGTGTGGGCAGCAGAAACTTTTTAGTTGAACAATTGCCACAAACCACACGCCCACATTTTCTACAGTGATGCTAAATTGAATAAAAAACAGTTTACTCCATGACTTGACAAAATTAAAGGTACTTTCAATGGTATTGAGCTAAGCAGTTAGCCAAATGTTATTGCTTTAGCTTTTGTTCAGCTTCTTGTACTGAAGACCCCGATTGAAGCCTGGTCAGCGTAAGCGAATTTAATTGGTAGCCTGAGCATTTTTAAATAACCCTCACATGCAGTGTTAGGCTGGATAAGGGACAATGTATCCATTATGTTGGTAATGGTGCTCTAGCCCCCCCCCCCCCCCCCCATTGTGCCATAAGCATCAAATGTACATTATCATCATTATTACTTCACATATATCTACTCTTGCAGATTTTTATTTGTATTGGTTGTATACTACTTCATAATTGCAAAATATTGCATGTGACCTCAATGCATCTCCTTTAAAGCAAAGCCCTGATTTCAAGATAAGGTATAATAAATTTAATATGTAAACCTTTTCTGAGTGATAATTACATTTTGTCATTATGATCCAAAGATATGTCTGATACATACAATAACAATAATAATTGCATGCAAACAGTAATATGTTTAAAGCTATGTAGAATATACAAGTAACGTTACTTACCCGTCGATTTAATGTTGTGAACTTTGACTTATCGCAGTTCATACAAGTTGAAGCATCTTGGTCAGGAACCCAAACAGGACATAAATCAGTTGCAGGCTTCTTCCCACCTATTTATACAAATTATAGAGCATATCCTTTATTTCATTTATACAATGAAAATTTATAACATGTATGCTAATAGACTAACAGTGAAAACATGTGCAAAATTAAAAGAAGAATTATAAAACTGGAGAAAACTGCGAATAAAACTCACTTTTAACTATGAGATCAGAAATGCATTTGTTGATATGCGCCATCCATTCTGATTTTTCTGTGGCCGTTGCAGCATACACTGAGAAGGATTTGTTAGTACTAATTATCTGCCAACCATTCCTCTGATCTGTCAATAAATATAGTCAATGTAAAATGTAAGATTGGAGTGTCAACTGTTTACTGCACTATACAATGGCAATTATATGCTGCAATAATGGACATTCTTAAATTGGTGATATAAATATTGTATTGGATTGTAGATAGAATACTTTACATGTAACTGATTAGTAAATTGATATGGGGTTGCAGCTTGATGGTTCTAGGCAGTGGTTTAATCACAAAATAGCCACAGGATTTAAGAAAAACAAACCCACAAAAACTACAAGTGATTAAATACTTTAAAGTCAACAATGCAAATAACACTGGCAAAATAATGTAGGAAATGTCTATAAAAAGAATATAATTCATCAGTTTAACTTACTTCCTTCATCTTCAATGGATTTTAGTCTTACATCTTCTAATGGTAAAATATGCTGTTTGTTATACTGAAATATTATCAAATAAAACAAACTATTAGATTCAACTATTTTGGTGAGATATTTGTGAAAATACAAGATTATTATAAATACTTCTATATTTTCATCTTATTATTTTTAGTTAGAATTTTATATTTTAGTAGTATTTTGTAGTTTTATTGTTATAGATAAGTAAGTATTGTATAAGTCTGTCTGTATAAGTATGTATTATGTACTGTAAAACATGGCCTCAAGCAAAAACACTTCTACAGTGAAGAAGTATTTAATAAAATAGATTTAATTAATATTCATCAATTATTTTTACTGACCTTTTTCTTATTTATTACAATATTTCCGTACACTAAGATATCATGGAAAAGAAAGAACTGCCTCGACTTAGGACGCTTTCTACACATCTTTGTTAGGACACCCTCACCAACTAGTACTCTGCCGGGAACAGCCAAAGTCTGCAAGAGAGAGAAAATAATAAATTCATGCAGGGAAGTACACTCACCCCCCACCACCCCCAACACACATGCACAATGCTCGCTTTTTTTTAAACAGCATTTTGTGCAGGATCAAGAATTTCATGTCTGAACAGAAAGGCGACCTGTAATTTATTATCTATCTGGACAATTAGGAGTTGTGTGTGAATATAAACATGGTTTCTCAAACAAACTTGGAACTTGTTTCTAGATACCAAACCAATGTGCTCTGAAACAAATTAGAATCAGGCCAATCACAGCAGCTAAAAATATATCAGATTTGAAACTTATGTTATAACTGACTCAATATTAGACTCTTATTCTTGACTTTAAATTATGTTCATATATTTTGACAGGAGATTTTAACCCTACAATCCCACTTGGGTTCTAAAATGATTTCACAACTAAAACCAGCTCCACTCTCTAAGCCTCATAATGTATTTACCATACTTTCTGTCAGATTTTTAAAGTAAAATCATATCATTTTAGGTAGTTTAAACTAAAGCTAATATGATTTTTTTTAAATGAATAATATATAAATGTGTAAATTTTCAAAAACTAAGAGTTTTCAACTGCAAATTTTAACAAGATAAAAGTTCCCTTACCAATTAACAATACATTTACATTTCTGCAAGCATATTTTTAAGAGGTTTTTCTAGTAAAAAATAATTAAATCACAGTCTTCAATCTTATTTAATGTATAATAACTTTATATGGTACTTTTAAATGACAAATTCAAGGTTTTACAGTATTTACAGTTTTAAATATTTATCTACAATGCATTCTTACAAACTGTACTATCTTTGACAACAAAAAAAAAGTTGTATATGCAAATATATAGTCATGATGTGATGTCATCATGACCATATTTAGGAATGTCGCATGTTTTTGCCAAAAAATGTTGATATAGTGTGGACAGTGCTTTAAATATTCTGCAAAAATAGCATGTACTTGAATGATGTTTTCATGCTGAAATTCAACTGTACTGTAGTGTGTGCCTGGAAATGAAGCTTGGATGTTTTAATTTCCCATAGGCAATGACAGCACTACATTACCTTCAGCACTAAGAGATAACATCTCTTTTCATATCCAAATTACAGAAATATGTACAGTAACATTGAATTAGATATTTCTATAAACAATACTAAAGTAATAATTAAATAGTACTATAACTACTGATGGGACATAAAAAGTTTATTATATAAGAAAAATCAATAATATTAAAATGTAATTAACAGTTATATGTAATTGTGTAATAATTATTATGCTGGTAATTGTAATTAAAATTATTGTAGTTATTATTATTGTTGTTATAATAATAATAATAATAATAATAATAATAATAATAATAATAATAATATTAATGGTAATAATAAAAACAACAATAATAATATAAGTAATGAACATATTTTAATTGTTAATTATTTTTGTATTTTCACACTTATATATATTTATATATTTTTATAATGTATTTATACTGCTAGTCCATGTTTCCCCCATTGCTTGGAGAGCCACTCAGACAGTAATTTATTTTAGTTTTGGTAATCCTGCCGGCTCTTGGGGGAAACATGGATTACCTTTTCGAATTTTCTGAATATTTTACTGTATTGTTATGATTTTAAAAAAAAGGCGAAATAAATGAAATGAAATGAAATGGTTTATTAATTGTATATTTCTATAGTATGAAATACTAAGGTCTCTCTATGCTGTGAGCATTTATAGTAAAAACCCTAAATTATGACAACAATGAAAATAAAGGGAGAAAAACAATAAAATCTATTGCCTCTACAAGTACTGTACCAATTATTAATTTTCAATCCAACAAATATTTATTACCATGAGAATTTGACCTTAATAATCAGTTTATATTAAAAGACTAGTCTACACCTCTAAATGATTGAAAAAAAATTGAAAAATGTTTTTGACCTCAGAAATCAAGATGGAAAAAGAAAAGCCTATCTAAGTAGTGTATTAAAATAGGTCTATGCAATACAGTGCAGTAGTACTAGAATACTCTGGACTAGCAATGTTGTTTTAGTTACCATATGAGAGTTTCCTGTGTTAAAAACATGATTTATTATACTATACTTCTTTATAAAACATAACTTGTACTTTATAATAAGAGAAATCTATATATTATCGGTACCTGGAACAGTAACAACACGAAAGTGCTATGCTACTGCACTGTAATGCATAGGCCTATTTTAATACACTACTTAGATAGGCTTTTCTTTTTCCATTTTGATTTCAGAGGTCAAAAACATTTTTCAATTTTTTATCAATCATATGGTGGTGTAGGCTAGTCTTTTAAGAACATTTTGCTTGAAATTTTTTTTTGGATACGACGCCCCGTTATGGAGTTATGATTTTTTAAATAACATGCCAGAAAATCAGCCCAAAAGCTTATCTTATTTCTCTTGGTTACGTACCGCTGATTCAAAATGTTTGTCATCGCTTCAAGATGTCTACCAATTCCTGAAAAAGGCCTATTTACTTACCTGTTTTGAGCCTCCAAAACATTGGTCTACATGTGCAATACGGCGTTGGTTGGCTTCACTGTTCACTAAAGTAGAATGAAACAAAACATATCTCATCTTAAGTCCTGTCCATACTATCTAATTTTGTTTGAAAAAAAAAACATCATGTGGCATGCCAAAATATTTTATGACATAATATCATGACCATACATAGGCACATCATGACTATAATATGGGCATTCAACAGTTTTTTTGTCAAAGGGAAGTTTTTATAGTGTGGTCAGAGCCTACAGTAAATATTTAAAATAAGGACACTACTATATGGTGTGCTGCAATTGGTTGCTTGTCGCTGTGTATATAACAAAACCACTTTTGTTGTATACACAGCCGCTGTCCCTTAAAATAATCTCATCATCATTTTACACTGACACTTTCAATAATCCAGTTTTAGAGCCTAGGCTAGGCCTTAGGTAGTTGTGTTTTAGGAAGTTCAATACTACACTCTCAGTCAGCAACATTTGAATCTGACTGAACAGTGAAGAATGAATGTCTGCTGCTACATGAGCTTCTTTCTGCCCAGAGCCTAGCCTAGCTACACCTAAGCCTAGGCCCCCTATGGCCTAGCCTATACTAGAGTATATAGTATAGGCCTAGTATGGCCTAGGCCCTAGCCTCTAGGCCTAGTAGTGTAGGGGGCCTAGCCTGGCCCTAGGCTCCCATCAACGGGATCTCTTTAAAAAAAATTTAGCAAGCTTCCCCAACACAAATAATAAGTTATAACATATGCTGATATTACATACGAAACACGAGCTGTATATGTACTAATTAAGTTTGGTTTCAATCACTCCAGCAAACCCAGGAAGTACAAAAAAAACTTCCTAAACTTACCCAGTCGGTCCACCATTTTGAAGAGCAGCAGTCACGTGATTTGAGAGTCTCCGATCAATCGACACACACGATCAGACAATGATGGCTATCTAATTCGTAGCCTCCCCTAAACTCACGAACTTTCACAATTGTTTCATTCGAATTCAGTACGGTATATATTCAAACCAAAACTCCTCTTTTAACGTTCTTCTTTTCAAAACCTATCTTCAACAAAACTGAAGGGTGTGATTGAAAAGGGAAGTTGCGGAAATTAGGGCAGAAGTAAAATCCATTACGTCACAATACTCAAGGGATATGTAAGCGATGACACACAGCGCATATGCAGTGTGTTTTGGATGTCTACATCTAGGAAGCTGCCAAGAGTCACATGACAGCAGCAGGTCAAAAAAAGCACGGAGTAGCGTAGCCTAGCCTACACACCGCCGCTGCATTACAAACTGATAGAGCTAAGCTTGTTAATTGATTGCTAGTGTGGCTACTGAAAAAGGATTGGAAATATCAGTATAGGCCGTTAAAATAGTGGTGTAGTTGTGAAATAGACGATACTCAGTTTTTAGTTTATATGTTCGATTAATTTTCAAGACATGGTGAAGTTTTGCGGTCCAAAATTGTCTACGTGCTGTTTAATTTTGAGTGTCTGGGGTATTGTGATGCTGGTAGGTAACGTCATAAAAATCACGGGGCTAGCTAGGCCTAGCCTGTCTAGGCCGTAGCATTGGACAAAAGCTGACCTAATACTGTCTTTTTAGCAATCAATGGTCAAAGATAATACTGCTAGACATAATACTAATAGTAATAAATACTAGGCCTGACACCTCAACCAGGCCTAGGCCCTACGCCTTTGACTTTGTTGCCTAGGCTATTATTAATGTATAATCCTTGGAAATTGGAGGGAGAGTCATGTGATAACAAATTATTTGGACTAGCCTACTAGGCCTAGGCCTACTCACTTTACAATACAAATCCATCATCTCATGATCAATATAATTTATAAAAAAATAAGCTCCTCTCCTCATTCAGTTGTAATGTTGCTCTCCTATTAATTTAGCTTTTTCACTTCAGTCTTCAATAATGTCTATACTATACTGTATGTATTATTTATGTAAATGATTAAATAGTTAAATAATTAAATAGTGATTTTTAATGCACATAATAATTGTTTGTTATTTTTAAACTGTGATACCTTTAACCCTGTTATGCACACAAGTTTTATTACTTGAGGAATTCTATCAAGTATTTAAGATTACAAATTTATTATCTTACAAATTTATCTTATGTAAACAAATTTTTCAGATATACAGTACATAAATATTACATTTTTTTTATAAGTACATACATGGGTCATCTTTCCCCTTTTTATACAATAGTCGGTCATTTTACCCGAATTTAGAGCAAGATGACTTAGTGACTCAATCCCAGACCAGGCAATATACTGTATGTAATTTTCTGAAAATATTTTGTTTGTTTACAGCCAGCCTGGAAAAAATGTTTGTGCCATTTTCTGACCATGAAAACAGCACCAAATGTTCTCTGTAAACTACAGTATATAAACGAACAGTTTATTTTTTGGAATTTTTTCACCCAAAATGCCTCCGTGACATGTATACATGATGCTGCCAGTCACACACTTTATCCAGCCCTGGTTTACAGTTTAAAATCAAACAAGTCCAGATAAATACAGTAGTAGGAAAAACCAAGCTAGTACTGTAGTAGCAAATAAACTACTAGCTGTTGCTTGTAAGGCTTGCCATCCCAAAACCTGTGCAGGCACATTTTGGCTATGTTCTCACACGGCAGCTAACGGTTAGCAGGATCCGGATCCTGCTAATCGTTAGCTGCCGTGCGTCCATGCGAGAAAATCCCGATCCGGATACCAACAATATGATGATCGAATCACTGGCCAATAAGAAACTGGAAATTGTAAACGCGTATGTGTGATTGGTTGATGATAGAAACGCCCTCAACTTGCTAACCGATAGCACTTGCAATGCTAACAGTTAGCGCTAACCGATCGGGCGTTCTCACGCAGGTGCTAACTGTTAACGCTAACGGTTAGCTCCCGATCCGGATACTAGGGCTCTCGTGAGAACCAGGCTTTTAACTGAGTAATTAGCATAAGAATGTGGCTGTACTGTATACTTTAGTGCCGAGAAGCCATGATACTTTTACTCATAACTTTGGAAATAATAAGTCCATTAAATGACCTATCATGATCAAGCTTAATATTAATATGGAGAATATGGCTATTAAAAAGTCAATTTTTTTGTTTTGGTCACTGACACTGGTTTTGGCTTGGCAGCCCCACAGAGGCACTGTTTAATATGAAATTTAAGGATTGCTAATGTTTTGACATGCATAATCTGTTTTTTTTTTTCAGCTATTATTAGGGGTTTTCTTTGAGATTAATGCTGTAACATTTATAGAAGATGTCACAATGCCTGAATTAAAACCAGGTGAACATTTAACCAAGAGTATGCTAGAAGAAGCCTACCATAAAGTTGCAGTCAACTGTTTTATTGCAGCGGCCTTGTATGGTGTAACATTTTTTGTATCAGCACATCAATTCTATACAAACCGAAGACCACAGTATCAGGTCAACTAGAGTGCTATCTACAAACTGGAGTTTCTTAATATATGGGATGTTTATCTCAGTGATGAGAATCATATGGGGGGTTAAATCTGCACATATATCCTGTAGTCCTATAAGTCTCCATGGTCTAATGGATATGACACTTAACCCTGACAGCGAGACATATATATATATATATACATACAGGAGTGGATCCAGAATTTTTTAAACGGGGGCACAGAATCTTCAAAATAGATAATTGAGTGGCGCTAATTTCAGTACTGTATAAGATTTTTGCAAGCTTACGAAAATGATAACCGACACATTTACATCATCAAATTTTTCATTCATCAGTAGCATATCTGTAACAACGTAGGCAAGCAATGCCTTGTACATGAATCAACGATGATATTCAGCTGGTACAGTATGTGTATTGCCAAGATTGTTTTGGGCAAGAATGACAGTAATAATGATGACGTATTGGTATTTATTATAGTTTTCGTGAGGTTGCAAAATCTCCCTATTCTTTGCAGATTACCAATATGTCAAATTGGTCTTTTCATAAACTGAACTGCATAACATTATAGGCTGCAATTTTTCCTGATTTCCAAGTTTTTTTTAGGTTATATTTAAAGTGATCACTATAAATTGTTGTTGGTAGGTGATAAATGTACTCACTTACCCTGGGGTCTTGCCACTGTAGGCAAAGTGTTTATGGTGGGTAGGTTTTAAAATGTATGATATTATGTCATTAATAAAGATTAATTATGTTTTGAATTCCATGTATATGTTGGGGTTTATTCAATAAATGTTAATGGTAAGAGGTAAATATATTCTCGTACAGTACCTCAGGATCCTGCTGTTTTAGGAGTTAATAACATGGTAGATGGAACCACCATATAGTGTGAAATAGTATAAGTATTGTATATGTTATTTATCTAAGAATTATAGGTTATAATAATATTAATTACACAGTAAATTGAATTGTTTATAGAGACTGTTAGTAAAAATTTGATACTGTTCTCTGGCTTTGATATTCCATAATATTGTATTAATTTGAATCATCAATAAAATACAGTAGTAGCAAAAGAACAATTGGCATTTATACTTTTCATTTATCATCTCGCATTTATTAATCAATCAGTCAAAATATCAAATTCTAATATCTATAACAATAATGTTGGCTATTTTGATATAAAATACACTAAATGTCTTGTATAATTTTTCAGTGTACAGGTATAAATTTTAATATAAAAAATTGTCAATAATAGGCCTAATTGCTATGTTCTTGATTTTCATTTCTATAGCAAACTGAATTCATTGAGTGATAAAAATTACAAATTAGTATTTCAATGTATGAACAAAATACTGTATAATCAAGCTCAATTTTATTTATTTTGTTTTTTATTCTTGATTGGTTTTCGATTGGTCTATGTATACAGTACTTAAATAGATGCCACATACTTAATATACCCTTATGTTTAAAGTAATCTAGCCCTTTTGAATATTAAACGCTATAGAAGAATTATGTCGTTAAAGGGTGTAACGAACGTATGAAATACATAAAACAGAATGTGAATATTTATTCCCAAATTTCTTTTTTGATTTATATTTTAAATTGAATAAAGACAATAATATAGAATCCATTATATTTTCTAATAAATTAACAGATAAATTAAAATTGCGAATTTCACAGGGTAAAATGTTCCAAATTCTGGTAGAAGAGGGATAAAGGATTGAAATGAGAATTCAGTCCTGCAGCGACGAATATCCAAAAGTGTACCAGCAGAAGATCCACGGGTAACACGGGTAATATATGTTTTTTTGGAGTCAAAAATTATAAAATAACAAAAATATACAGTTAAACTTGGATAAAATCGACTTCGTCTAACTTGAATAATTTCTTAAGACAAACATGTTTTCCATTAACAATCTGCAAGTCAAATTTTCAGTGGCATTTTGGATTCGACTTGGGCAAGTTCAACTCTACATAAATACGGTACAACTGATTGGTCTATATCAATCAATCAAACAATGTGACATTTATTTCACCATGAGCAACAGAAAAAAGAAAACATACAATACTATGGCGAGGGACCAGTTTAGAAGCCTAGGCTAGTCTTCACGGTCCCTTTTAATAGATACAAAGACAAAAAATTAAAACACACATAAAAGAAAAAAGATAAAAGTACCTATTAAAATCCTTTTTTTCAGAGTTTACTAAAAGTCTTATGAGTATTTGGTGTTTTTAGTTTAGTACTATCAATATTGTTATATACGTACATTTTGATAATTTGAGATGATTTCCTTTTTTGAGGAGTTTACTAAAAGCCTTAAGAGTATTTGATGTTTTTAGTTTACTATCAATATTGTTCCATACATGCGGGCCATGGACACAAATTGAGAATTGGCTTTTAGTCAGCCTAACAAACGGAATACGAAGCCTATTACACTGTCTTGTCCGATAGTTATGAACACTACCTTTGTACTGAAATAGATCCTTAAATACATTTGGTAACATTTCATGGTTGTGTTTATACATAAAACATCCTACTTGTACCTTATTAATGTCATAAATATTCAAAAGATTATGTTGATGAAATAGTGGTTCTGCATTGCACCTATATGGTGATGATGTAATAATACGAATAATTCGTTTTTTGAGGTTATATAGTTTAACAAGGTTTGAGGGATAGTTATTTCCCCATATAATATTACCATACTGGAGGTAAGGCAAAATTAAGGTATTGTAAAGAGCGAGTGAAATATTCGTAGGGAAAAACTGTTTGACTCTGCCAATTAATTATGAATTTTCCAGTTAATATGTTCATTTAATATTATACCCAAGAATTGAACTTTTTTCTGTTGAGCTATTGCTTTACCATTGATTTTAAAAGGATTGTCAATTTCAGGGCATTTCTTCTGAGTTGGACGGAAAATTACATAGTTGGTTTTGGCAATATTTAACAATAGTTTGTTAATGCTGAGCCAATCAGATACCTTTACTAGTTCATGGTTTATATCAGTTAACAACTTATCAAGATTATCTCCTGATAGGAAAACAGTCGTATCATCAGCGAAAGACTACAACTTAAGTAACTAGAGAACCAATGTAAAGCAATACCTCTGATTCCATAGTAATGTAGCTTTTTAAGCAAAATATCATGATCAATAAGATCAAAGGACTTAGAAAGGTCCATAAACACACTGATTAAGAATTTCTTCTTTTCAAATCCCGCCGTAATGTTGATGTCGAATGGTTTTCACGAAACCCAAATTGGTGATCGTTGAGGATAGTGCATTTATCTAAAAATGAGTATAATTTGGAATACATAATTTTTTCAAGTATTTTAGAAAATATTGGTAAGATAGATATGGGTCGATAATTTGTGAAATCTTCACGTTTACCTTTTTTGAAAATTGGCAATACTTTAGCAACTTTCAGGTTATCAGGTACGATACCTTTTATAAACGACTGATTGATAATATAAGTCAGTGGTTTTAAAATGGATAATGCAGAGCCTTTGACCACTTTTGACGTTATGTTGTCAAAACCCGAACATTTGTTGGGATCTAGATTTCGTATAACATCAAGAACATCTTGTTCTACAACAGGTGTTAAAAAGAATGAGTGGCAGTACGTGGTTACCAGTCAAGTAGTCAGATAGCGCAATTTGAACAGTAGGCGGAGTAATTGATTTTACAACCTCTGGACCTACGTTTACAAAATAATGATTGAAAAATTCAGCAATATTCTGACTACCAGTAACACGTGTATTATTATATGTCACAGTATAGGCTAACCTCACTGCCTCAGACTGTCAGATGGCGGATTTTTGGGGCCTGAGGAGGCCCCAACCTCCCCCATTCGGAGAGAAGGCCTATAAAGGAAAGAAACAAAAAGAAATTATTGATCACACAAATGTGCCTCAAAGTCACCTTTACGTTAGGCAATTCAACTCTGAACTTTTTTTTCCATGAAATATACATATTACTTATCAGAAATATTGAAAAACCCATTTTTTTTGTCAAAATATCAACTTATATATATTTTCTTGAACATATTAAATTAACCTGGCGTATCACAAGACTCATTTTGTCACAAAAGAAGAAAGCAGGTCTGGTGCTATATACATATATAGAGAAAGTCTTATTAGTAAAAAGGCTTGTGTATCTGTATAGGCCTAAGTTACAATTCGTAGTCGAATAGAAGACCGGTATCCTTCATTTTCTCTTCATATAGTTTATCAAATGCTTCGTTCTGTGCGACTGTGAAGTAATTCTTCCAATCTCCCACTTTTCCTTGAAAAGATAAAGTGTAAGTAAAGTGAACTGGCATTGGTTAACAAGAAATTACAAATTAAGCTGGCTAGCAAATAATTAATTTCATAAGACCATGAAGGGTCAACGCTGACACTCACCAAGTATTGAATATACCTCTGACTGAATGGCGCCACCACTGTCCAGGCCTGTCTTTGGTATAGAGTATCTATCTGACTGGTTTTTGATCCGACAAAAACTCAAAACTCAAAGGGGGGGGGGGGAGGGGGGGGGGTGGCTCCACCACTGTTTACGACTAATCTTTGGTATAGCGTATCTATCTGACTGGTCGGCAGTTTTGCCTAAATGTTCATATGGGGCATATGCCTAAAGTTCATAATGCTGGTTTAAATGAACCCCCATAAACATACTGTAACTTACCTTTCCTCATGAAGGGGGTTGAGTTAACATCTAAACTTGGACTGTCTGAATAGTTTGTTTTTGGATTTGATTTCATATTGCTAAATGTACAGTGCTCAACGATTTCGTCTAGTTTACCATCGGGTATAGGCCAACCGAAGAATTCAGAAATTTTCATAATGCCTCCTGTAAGATCCTGAAAATATAAAACCGAAAAAATATGAGAGGGAGAAATTAAATGGGGTAGTTTATTAAGAAGTCATGAACCTTCATGATCACTGTAGTATCAACCCGCTATGAAAGAAAAAAAGAGGGAAAAGAGAATATTATAAGTTTACTTAGGTTGAACGCATGGTACAGTAGGGATCAGTTGAAAACAAATCTTTCCCATTAATAACTTGTAAGCTTACAGCACATTCACGCAAATAAGCACTTGTGCGCTTAATATTTTTTTGGGCACTTTTTGATGGGTACTTATTCAAATAGGTCGCCTATAAAAACAAAGTTGAAATGGGGGGGGGGTGCCGTTTATGGAAATAAGGTCAAAATTGAGAGGGAGCTTATGGGCTCTTTTCAAATGAAAAAAAAGATATTCATAGTACTCCAAATTAAGTAATAATGTGTAGTCGAGTATAATTACTATGGAGGGCGATAGACAAAAATAAGTCAAAATGTTCAAGATTTTTACATGCGAGAGCTTTAAGGCCAGTTTATTTTGTTGACTGAAAAAAACAAAAAACTCTGTACTATATATGGACATACAGTATTTTTAGATTTTAAATACTGTACATTAGTTCTAAATCCAAGACGATGTACAGGGTGCAATAAAACAAGAACGGGATTCTAATGATGCATCAAAACTAAACACCATGTTAAATTAATGGAGACTGACTGACAGACTGATGGATGGACAGACAGATCGACTTACAATGCTGAGATGCGAATAGTGGATTCATTGAACAGAAAGTTTGGTGATGTACTGTACTGTATGATTGATTTTGTTAGAAATTGAAGGGGGCTCATTCAAAATTGAGGGGGTGCTTATTCAAATTAGAAGAGGCGCTTACTCAAACCAAGGTAATTGCTTGCTCAAACGGAGCGCTTATTCGTGTAAGTATGGTACTTCATTATTTGATTCATGGGCTAAAGATTGCCCTTGGATTGGATTTATTCAGTGTAAACACCACTTGGATAACCCACAAAAGTCAAAAAAAGAAGAAGACTTGTGTTCCAGTGGGGTCCTTCTGGTGGTGATTGGACAGCACACAGGGAGATAATCCCCTACTCTTTTCCGAAGAGTGTACTGCGTTCTTTAACATGCGCATGGGCCATAATGCACACAGGACCAACGGCTTAAACGTCTCACCCAAAAGATGATGCGCTATCGTAACTTGCATTTCAGCCCTCTAGCTGAAATACAAGAGAGCAAGACCAAGAGATCTTCATGGTTCAGCGCACACACACACTGGCTGCCACCAGTTTAACCGACTGAGCGAAGCTGTCTTAACAAATTTAATCGCTGTTGTGTAAGTGAAAATTCACTTCCCAAGACAAACATACAGTACATATGCTGTTATGGACCTTTCGATCACCCTTAACAACTGACCAATCACAACAGGCTAGGAAAACGTGTGTGTTTCACAAACATATGTTCTGTCCCACAAATGCATGTGCTTGCATAGGTGTGTGGAACCCTACCCAATATCCAAGGGCAGGCCCGTAGCCAGGTCTTCCAACAGGGGTTTTCTGGGCGTGGGAGTCCATGGTCGAAGTCCCGTTTGGGTGCGAAACCCCCAAAGCCAGAGAATTTTTGTGCTTTATGGGTCTTAATGCTATAAAAACAGATATGTTTGAAATCATCTGTGTCTGGGTGGGTCTGTAGTTGGGTTAGAGGACTTGTTTGGAAATTTGAAGGAGGGGGAGGGTTCGACAGAAAAGGGGGTAGGTAGATCTGAGAACTTTATAAAAAGTGATATGTAATAAACAAGGCCTACTTTCTGCATGTCTTCGTACTTCAGGAACAGCACGTTTTTGTCTTGACGTCGACTCCACCAGTATGTGTTAATTTTAAACCAGCCTCCCATAATCACTATTTGTAAATTAAACAAAATATATCTTTATTTCAGACAATTAATAATAATAATAATAATAATAATAATAATAATAATAATAATAATAATAATAAGACTTATAAAGTGCACTACTGCAGTAGTGCTCAAGGTATTACAGAAGGAAGGTACCAAAAATTACCATGAACATTAAAGCTACAAGAAAAGAAACACCACACCATCACCGCACTGCTTACATGCAATTTAAGGCACAAGGGCCCGTCTATTCATTACTCACAGGTGCTCAAGTAATTTACCAATACTGTAGAAACAAATAGTCTATTCCGAAAACTGCAGGTCATTCTATTATATTTTGACTATCACTTCCTGAGTTATATTTCGGTATCTTTTATTCAACAAATATAAATATGTACATAAAACAGATTATGGCAGTTAAAAACCAAATTGCAAACTGAGTTGTTAAAACATGTAGGTTAAGAAAATCCTCAATGATTAAACAGACATTACAAATATTATTATTTGTCTCTCACACCTTTTTCTTCACAAAAATCAGTAAAGAAATCACTCCAGGATTGCTGACGATCTCGAGGAGCAATTGCGTTTGAGAAATGAAATAATGACACTGCGTTATCTTTCGGGTTTCTGGCAATAAACACGATCTGTGGAGAAAAAAAAAACTGATGATGTTAGGACGATAGTGTTAAGATTTATACCATCCAAATGGATTGCAGATCAAATTGAGACAATTTGATGTTTACACTATAACTTTTGTACAATTCTGGAGAGGTGATTCTAGTAAACGAAAGAGTTGTAATAGCATAAGGAGAAAGGAAGAAGGGAAAATGAACAATGGCCTACCAACCTTTGCTTTGGTGGTTGTCAATTGTTCTGGCATTTCGTTGCTCTGGAGATGAGTCTTTATCAGACGAGGAGAGGGCAGACTAGCAGCGATCTCGTGCGGTCCTAAAGAGGAGTCCAGTTTTTTCATGTCAAGAAACAAGAACCGATGTCGTATATACTTCTCATCTGCCTTCTCGATGTCGCAGCCATAAAATAGAATCGAAACTATCTCTTGCGTCCAAGTTGTCCCTGATTGCAAATATATTTTGATTATTTAATTTAATTCTATAGGCCACTAATATCAATCACATGAGAATATTCCGGGAGCATAAAAAGTAATAAGAATAAGAAGTATTGTTATTTTTTTCATATTGACTATAATGATGTGTTATCATAGTAAATACACAGTGCATTTCCAAATATTGTGAATCTCGCAACATTCTTCGTGTGGGAATCGACCCCCATTACCTCGTAACAAGTCAACCCTTAGACCACGGAGCTCACGATTACAGTAGTATGGGGATTGAAATTGTTACTGCGTACTCAATACAATAACACATATTAAACAGTTTGGCAATTATTATAATAGTTGTATATCATATACTAATGGAAATTATCATAAAGGTTAGATATAATTCATTAAAACAAAAATTTTTTTTGTGTATCTTGTTCTACAAATGTAATTTTTTCCTTTACCACTTAATTTGTCAACTATTGGACGAGTGTCTGCCCACACTTTCCGCAGTCGCACGTAGTAGTGCTACAGTGGCGGAGCTTGTCCCCCTCCCCTTTTGAATGTGCCACTGTGTTAGGTGTAAGAACACTAGTCTAGAATGTCATTACGGTGTGCGATATGGTGATACGTACAAGTTGAACTGGCCTTTTCGAACACGTAAAAGATCTAGCAAACCATGCACTAATAACAAAATAGTGCATGGTTGTGGATAGGAAAATAACATTGGGAGTTTACAGTGATAATATCACGATTGAATTTAAGTTTAATACAGTATTACTTGGGCCATTCTTCGCTAATGTGCCATTTTAGAGGTTTAGAAATCATGAAAAAAAAGTTTAAAATTTGTAATTCTTTTATTACACATGTCATCATTATGCCATATAACAACTATAATAAACATTCGGCACGATAATTAGGGCATTTTAAACGTTTATTTATGCATTCAATTTTCAGTGCTGTAACATAGCAAATATTGCAAGAATCATCTCCATCACACCTTTTGTGATGGAGATGATGATATACATATAGATGTGAATCTTAGTAAATTTAAAAGATAGATTGTATTATTTAAATATAGGATAATGCACATTGCACAAACAGGTTTCTAACAACATAAGTCGTATCAATTACCATTTTTATTTTATAGCTGTTTCTGAGAAAAGAAAACATCAAGAAATCATCTCTCATAAATGTGAATCTTAGTAAATTTAAAAGATAGATTATATTATTTAAATATAGAAAAATAAATTGAGCAAAAAGGTTACTAACAAAATAAACCAGATCAATTATAATTGTTATTATATATTCTTTTTTGAGGAAAGAAAGCATCAAGAAGTCATCTCCATCACAGTAAAATTGTGATGGAAATGACTGTGACGGAGATGAGGAATTAAACTTGTTAGATCATATAGTGCCATATGCAGTGTGTTACAGGGTGAATGTCATGTGTACTTTGAAAATGACACAGTTCTGATCGTATATATAATTATTTTTTTATAAAAAAAAATTATAAATAAAGGATACTCTGAAGCGTTCGGAGATGATGCTGAATAAAGGTACTTTCCTAGCTGTTAATAGAAAAGCATGAATTCTTCAGCTATAGGTGGTTTAACTGTACAAGAATGAACTGTTTCTTACTGAATGGTCCCCTTCAACCAAAATGGTTTGATCCATAACTTGTTATGTCATTTTGCTAACAGCTATAATGGCATTTTAAAGTATTGTGACGGAGATGATGACAATTCAGGGACAAACTTTTTTAGTCTAAAAAAGTCAAATTTTAAGTATTTATAGATCTATTGATGTCATTTTTAAATTTGTAAGACATCTATTGTATTCACCTTTTTGTGGTACATTTATTTATTTAAGTTATTTATTTTACAAATTATGACATTAGGAATTTTTAAGAAATCCAATCGGGACATGCAAAGTGCGCGACTTTGGAGGCTTTTTGTTGAAAAATAAACAGCATGTTGATTACTTTTAAAATATTTAACAACTTATTTCATTAAAAAATATGTTCGAGATTGCATTAACGCAATAAAAATAAAACTTCCTTTAATATTTTACAATTCATACCACATCAAAACAGAGGGATGGGAAAATGGCACTTTACTGAAGAATGACCCACAATTCAGTAGACATTACACACACCGTAAATACTCTAATTGGTCAACTGCAGAATTTGTCTTTAATACATACTGAGCCTATAATGTGTGATTGAAAAAGGGTAGCCTCTGCTGCTCTAAAATCCAGTGAGCAAGTAGCACGATGTTCTTTAGTTTTTACCTAGTTGCACAAAAGCCTTCAATGAATGCTGAGGGCCTAGTAACTATCCTACCTGCTTTTGGATAACTCACAACGATGACGTCATCGTCTCGAATATCCAGCTTCCTGATTGCTTTCAACAACTCATCAGACGTTACACTTGAATGTAGTACCCCATCAACAAACCTAGGCTCATCAAATGCAGTCATTTTACAAAAAAAGGTATGCTCAGCAATTGAACACTATATACGAAACGCCCACAATTGTCGAGTTTCAGGTAAGCCTTCACACAATGAAAAGGTCATGGCTGCAAAGATAGAAATTGGTACCAGTACTTTTTTATGAAATGTTTGAACTCCGATAGACCACTATATTAAATAATTACTCCCTGGTTAGTAGTTGGATATAGAGTTCCTATAGTTGGATATGCTGAATAACGCCAAAAACACTTGTTTGTTTTTTTTAAATAAACGGTTAAATTCCTTCTGAACGCGTTTCAGATAGTGAAAAGTGCAACTAATAAAAACACGGTAATGCCAGCATTGGCAATCAAGTGGGCGGAGCTTAAATGACGGTCACCAACGGAACTTGAAACTGACCTTTACTTCTTTCGAGCTAAGCGCATGCTGCTAAAGAAGAACACACCACGAAAGTATGATCTTCAAGCATGTCATCCTATTGGTTTAATTTAATCACTTCATATAGTTTATCAAATGCTTCGTTCTGTTCGACTGTGAAGTAATTCTTCCAATCTCCCACTTTTCCTTGAAAAGATAAAGTGTAAGTAAAGTAAACTGGCATGGGTTAACAAGAAATTACAAATTAAGCTAGCTAGCAAATAATTAATTTCATTAGACCTGGGCCTATATTACTAATTACTCATAAGGCTTATTATTTCCAAAACAGCATCATCATCCCCACCATCATCATATCATCATCATCGTTGTCATTGGCATCATCATCTTTTTCTCTTTATTCATCGTTTTCATTATTTGTATCATCACTGCTGTCCATCCACATCATTCTTTTATTACTCAATGATCATTTTATTTCAATCACTTATATCTTATATATAATGATTGTGTGTGTGTTTATTTCGAGATGTAGAATAAACCTTTATGAGTGGCCATGCTTTAGAGGTGATACAAATTAAGGTTCCCCAAACAGGGTAAGCATCCAAAAGTGTAACACCAAGAAATCATGAAGGGTCAACACTGACACTCAGAAGTATTGAATATACCTCTGACTGAATGATATAAATTCTTGTATGTTACACCACATAGATAATTCTGATAGATATTATTTTTTCTGAAGATGACTGAACCAACTCAATCGAAATGTCCAGACATTCTCAACAAACTTTTCAGAACTATCAGATGGTGTACGCCATTCAAATCTACGAACAACAAAGTACAACATGCTTGCTTTTACGACCAGCGGTGGCGTCAGAAACTTGCCGACAAGGGGTCCGACAAGTCCAACAGAGGGGTCCGAGCCAAAGGCCAACGAAACCTTGGCATGAAAACTTTTTATGGCTCAAAATGTGCTTTTAGACCACAATATTAAAGATTGGCAGTCAAAATAATGTTGTTTGGATAGGCAAATTATTATTTTTTAAATTTTTGATCCGACGACCTAGAAGTCGGACAAGTCCCAAGTGGAATTTTTCTTGGTATTCCTTGTAATGAAGGCCTGTTCCATTGCGCAATTATAATATTTTTTGTATGTGTCTTTTAATCAATTTGTATGTTTGTACTATTTTATGACATTGTTTACTAAATAAATAAACTCAAAACTCAAGACAAGGAGTCTAGGCCTGTCGGGGTGGGGGCGCCACCACTGTCAAGGCCTGTCTTTGGTATATAGGGTATCTATCCGACTGGTTTGGTGCCACCACTGTTTACGACTAATCTTTGGTATAGTGTATTTATCTGACTGGTCGGCAGTTTTGCCTAAATTGCCCTAAAAGTTCAGAATTCTGGTTTAAATGAACCCCCCCATAAACATACTGTAACTTACCTTTCCTCATGAAGGGGGTTGAGTTAACATCTAAACTTGGACTGTCTGAATAGTTTGTTTTTTGGATTTGATTTCATATTGCTAAATGTACAGTGCTCAACGATTTCGTCTACTGACTAGTTTACCATCGCCGGGGTATAGGCCAACCGAAGAATTCAGAAATTTTCATAATGCCTGCTGTAAGATCCTGAAAATATAAAACCGAAAAAATATGAGAGGGAGAAATTAAATGGGGTAGTTTATCAAGAATTCATGAACCTTCATGATCACTGTATACGTATAAACCCGCTATGAAAGAAAAAGAGAATATTATAAGTTTACCTCATGTTGAACGTGTGGTACAGTAGGCATCAGTTGAAAACAACTGTTTCCCTTTAATAACTTGTAAGCTTACAGCACATTCACGCAAATAAGCACTTGGGCGCTTAAATTTTTTTTTTTGGCACTTTTTGAGGGGTGCTTATTCAAATGGGTCGCCTATAAAAACAAAGTTGAAATTGGGGGAGTGGGGGTGGGTGCCGTTTATGGAAATAGGTCAAAATTGAGGGGGAGCTTAGGCTCTTTTCAAATGAAAAAAAGACATGTACTCCAAATTAAGTAACAATGTGTAGTCGAGTACAATTACTATGGAGCGCGATAAAAAAAAAAGAGTCAAAAGATTTTTACATGCGAGAGCTTTAAGGCCAGTTTATTTTGTTGACTGAAAAAACAAAAAAACCCTGTACTATATGTGGCCATACAGTATTTTAATTTTTAGATTTTAAATACTGTACATTAGTTCTAAATCCAAGACGATGTACAGGGTAGCAAAAAAACAAAAACGGGATTCTAATGATGCATCAAAACTGAACACCATGTTAAACTTAATGGAGACTGACTGACAGACTGCGAATAGTGGATTCATTAAACAGAAAGTCGGTGATGTACTATGATTGATTTTGCTAGAAATCGAGGGGCGCTCATTCAAAATTTAGTGGGTGTTTATTCAAATTAGAAGGGGCGCTTACTCAAACGGAGCGTTTATTCGTGTGAGTACGGTACTTCATCATTTGATTTATGGGCCAAAGATTGCATTTGGATTGGATTGGATTTATTCGGTGTAAACACCACTTGGATAACCCACGAAAGTCTGAAGAAGACTTATTTCCAGTGGGGTCCTTCTGGTGGTGATTGGGCAGCACACCAGGAGACTCTACTCTGGTTAAATTAATATTCAATTTATATTGCTACTTAATTATTCATGAACCTGCAGTAGTGTCGCCCATAACGCTTACCTATATTAAATAACTACTCTCTGGTTAGTAGTTGGATGACAGCGCCGCCAACGAGTAAGTTAATTTAGGGACAGATTTCAGACTATGTATGTACGGTACCGGTACTCACTTTACAAATAGTGGCACAATACTATAATTTAAAAATCATTATAACAATATAAAACTGGTAAGATACGATGAAGATCCTAAATTCGATCACAATGTAAACAAGATATACTAACAAATGTGAACCAGAAATTAAAGTAACGCAATAAGCAAGAAAAATTGACGTTCTGGACCGGTTCACGGTAGGTTAAATACACACGTTGATAAAAACACCACACCTGTGTATAAAATAAATGCGCACGCACATTACACATGCGTACACTTGCGAACTCACAAAAAATGAATAGAGTAAGATCTGTAGATACGCACAGATAGTTTTTTAATAAATCTACAAATTACATAATAGATAAATCTATTAGTGATTAGGGAAAAAAGCAAAAACTAATTAACACCATACAAACAGTAAAAAAATAACGTTGTTGTAGATTATTTTATGAGGTGGTTATAATCCAAGCGTCATTATGAGATACAGTAAAAATAATAAAATTGGCCTAAATACTCCATTTTATTCTCCAACAGGCTAGCTATCTAAAAAAAGTGGTGTTATATAGTTATTTAGGGAGTTGTTTTTCAAAGCAGATTGAAGGTTTCAGTTGTACCATATTTATTCGAATAAACGTCCCGCTTTGGATAAACGCCTCTTAATATCATAAGCCCCATTGACAATAATAGATGTATTTATCCTGATGAAATGGTATTATCAATAGTATCTCTGTACATTTTATATATATGTTTGGAGGCTTAGGAAAAATTGTAGGACTATTGTTTCCATAGTGATTATAACACGTTTTACCCTCCGGTTATTATTGGTTGCTCAAGCTGACTTTTCTGAGCCAAGAGGGCAAGTTTGTGTAATGTTAAGCCTACTTGTTTGGATTTTATCATTAAGACATGCTATATGCAGAGTAGGCCTACCTATTTCATGCAAATGCACAGCTCGTTTTATTGCCTTTGTACCATGTTCTCCAACAATTTGGACTGCATTGTGCTCCAGTGTTCTAAAGATTTTGAACATGCTGTAGTAGTATAAACTTCAGCAACCATTACAGTACAACTTGCAAATAATGCACCACAAGTCCTGCATGATAATCTTTATAGTGATAACTATATAGCCTTACAACTTGCAACATTGTCTTCTCTCCAACACGGCCATGGACAAAATCAGTTCAGTTCCACTATATAATGCATTTTCTGTACTCCATTCCTGACTGTATAATAATATTGTAATATTTGTGTATAATATTGTCTAATTTTGAACATTCAATGAAATACCGTAATCGCGCGATTAAGCGCCCTGGTGCTTAAAATAGGCCTACTTTTTGCACTTTCTGAGAGAGGGGCGCATATTCAAACGGGGCGCCCATTTAAACGGAGCGCTTATGAAAACAGAGTGGAAATTGAGGGGGCGCTTATGGAAATAGATGAAAATTGGGGTTCTTATGGAAACTTATAAAATTCAAGAGGTACTTTTTGAATGAAAAATGATTATATAATACATTACGAATGGTAGTGCGGCGGAAAAGATAATCATCTAGAGAACCATAGAGAAAATAGAGAGAGAACATGGCTCATGACAAGAATGCTGTGAATATTTACATCAGCAGAATAGCAGATGCAATTAGGGTAGTGGTTAGCTTGTTGGCCATCGGCCGATTGAGATTAGCAGGATGGCAGTATCATTGCAGGTTTTCTTGAAGACTCAGATGAGAATGTGCTAAAGGTGCAAATTGTAGGTAAAAGGAAAAGAGAAGTTGGACAAGTCCTAGACAAATAAATAAGAAGAGGAAAGTTGGAAATATACTGTATGTCCAGGGATCGGAGCTAGCTCTCATCTGTCCAAGAGAAATATCCTCATTTTGACATTGACCTAAGAAAAATAGAACTCCACTCTACAGCTCAAATCATGCCAACAACCACAGTCCCAGGATTGATTGGATTATTGACTTGCTAAAAAAAAAATATCTTATGATATTATTGAGGGGGCACTTATTCAAACGGGGCGTTTATTCGCGCGAGTACGGTACCTTCATTTAGAACAATTCAGACAAACTGCACCACTCACGGAGAGGCGATGCTCTCGTCGAGAAAATATTGAAAGATAACGTAACTAAATGTTGAAGTTTTTTGTGGTATTTTATTGCAAAAAAACAGAAAAATTAATATATAAATACGCCTATGCAATTTTCCTTGTAAACCGGAGAGCATGTGAAAAAAACGTGAGAAAAAAAATTGGCCGAGAGTCAGGTCACCAAAACGGGAGTGTTGGCATGTATTATGAGTTGTCAAGTCTGAGTTTACCTTCGGTTTCGCCTACATAATTGCCATTATTAGGCCTACACTTAGTTCAAAATAATAATGTGCTGCGCTTTTGTACTGTGCTCGGAAAAACGGGTTTCGACCAGCTGGGATTTCATGTTTTCGGTGAACTGGATTCGGCAAACTGGGTTCGGCAAAGTGGCCTAAACTCGACAAGCCGTGTTTCGGCAAACTGGATTTCGACCAACTGGTCGGATACCAAATTGTGACCACTGTCACAAAAACCAAGAGAAAAAAAATAAAAAAGTTCATATAAACTAAGCCACATTTTTTTTTCGAAATCAAATATTTCGGTGTCTAGCGTTGTTTGGACATAACATCCTTTTCTTCACAAAAATCAATAAAGAAATCACTCCAACATTGCTGACGATCTCGAGGAGCAATTGCGTTTGAGAAATGAAATAATGACACTAGTGCGTTGTCTCAGTCGGGTTTCTGGCGATGTAAACGATCTGTGGAAAAAAAATCGATGATGTTAGGACAATAATGTACGACTTATAGGCCACCCATCTAAATGGATTGAGGTTCTCAGGGGCGGATCCAGAGATCTCCAAAAAGGCGGGGGGGGGGGAAAGTTGGGCCGATTGAGTCAATTTCGGTGATTTCCAACAAACGTTCATTTCAACTGGATTTCATTAAAAAGAATTGTGTGAAAGAGGGCACTGAAAAAAAATGTATAGGCAAAAAGAAATAGACAAAAAGAAAGACCATTTACAGGCATATAATGGCTAATTATGTGGGGTTTTTTTCTGAACAATCGAAAAGGACAAATTTAAATATTGGAATCCAGCTGATAGTGACGGTAACCTAATTAATTTAAATATAGGTAATCGTGTAATTAAGCGTGGTAAACATAACAAACAGCGTTCTCCTTCATTCCCGTTTTAAGTGTCGGCGGTGGAGGAGGGTGTAATCTGATGGGGATGACAGTGGCCAAGTTTGTAATTTAAGTAAGTATAGCTACTTCTATTTGAACAATAAAAGACAGAAAGTAATGTATGGGTGAAAAATAGGGTCCGAAATTGTAACGGAACTGATAAAAACCGAAAAAGGGTCCGAAATTGTAGCGGAACTGATAGAACTGAAAAGATGGACGGGTCCACACGTGTTCACCAGTACTGATGTCCACCTCTCGACATGTGTGGGCCTATAATTAGTAATATGTATTTTAGAATACAAATATGGAACTAAACTTTTGGTATCCAACTATCCGAAATATTACCAACAATTTTATTAACATTCTATATTTTATCCGCTATAACTCGAGTTTGCCCGTCCTTATGGTTAGAATTGTGCGACAGCAATAATCACTGCAATCGATATTAATGCAAAAAATAGACACCAATAGTGCAACAAATAAGTTTGGTAGGTCTAATTCCTTGTCCGTTTGATTTCGGTTTTCATACTCCTGTCATGGTAATTCTTACCCTTCTAGGCCTATATTTTTTCCATGCTATATAATAGACTAATATTGACGCTTATGTGGC